GGCAAGTTGGACTTCGATAGCCTCTGGAAAGTTGTTTTCCCTGTTTATTTTGTCCAAATGTTAAGATTTGAAACCGAAAGTACATTGCAAATGGTGGATTTTAAAGGGGTCTTGTCTTTATACATGTCATGCTTTCAATAACAGCCTTTCAGAGACCATTCATCCAACTTGCCCTTCATTGATAAACATATATTACTTCTTCAATGATGGTTTTCACTAAGAGTACAGAATTAAGCAGGTGCATGTTTTAAAAATATGCAAATTTTTTGAAATTGTTTTTTCTCAAAAAATATATTTTTTTGTATATTTGTTTTTAAGTGATACTTTCTATCTGTTAATCAATGATATATTTATAAACTGTGAAAGTTTAAACTTTATACCTCACATAATTTTGGAGCTGTTGTAAAAATAAATTTCTGGTCATGTTGACCTTTGGTGGTGAAACCTTAAAAAAAAATAAATCTGTTCCATATATCAAAATAATCAGTTTGTTTTACACTTCACTTATAAACGATTTCATTGTGCATGTAAAATGTCAAATGACGTCATAGTGCATTTTGTGTGTTTTATTTGTAAAAGTTCCAAAATTCAACAAGAAATTATCTCTGTAACTGATGCACGTACCTTATAATGTCCGTAATAACAAATGTAGGGAAAATTCCCAACTTTTAGGCATTTCTTAATGATTAATGAGTTTAGTGTGAGGAGCTAACTGGTAGAGCATCTCTGATCAAGCAGGTGTTATCTATATCTCTTGGGAACTGGGCAAAAAGAATCAGCCAAGTTGGATTAAATTGTTGGCTAGCCTAACTTTTAAAATGAATTTCGTGAAAAGTAATTCGTGAAAAGTAATTAAAACTTATTTGATTTTGTATGATAAATTAATTTGATATTGTATAATAAACTAATTTGATATTGTATAATTTAATTAAAACTAATTATACTAGGGAGGGGGGTGATATTGGAATCAGCATGCCTGTTGTTCGTATGAATTGCAGCTTAAAACCAGTCTGACATTAAATCTAAAAAAAATCAAGTATTTTAAACAAAAAAGTTTTAATTATGGTAGATAGTCCCTACAAATCTAAGAGTAATGCTGGAACCTTATTAAAAATGAAGATGAACATCAAGATTACACAAGTTTTTTGTTTCCTTTTATAAATCTTTTCAACAAATTATAAAAAAGATCTTTGTTTTCAAATTTAATTTCAGAATGACATAAATATGCATTTTTATTGCACTACAAAGCAGATAGCATGTATAGATCCATTCATCTGTTGGGAGTAATGAGTGGACATGCATCCAGTTAAAGATTAATTAATGAGTTCAGTGTAGGGAGGCTAGCTGTCTCAATCATTTCTGTTAGAGGATCTCTGATCAAGCAGCTCTTATCTGTATCCTTTGGGAATTAGACAGAAGAACTGCTTGTCAGTTTATAGCATATGTCATTTGATGGTCAGCCTTTTATTTTTAATATTAATTTGAAATAGATAAAGTTGTTAAGACTAAATTGATATTGTGTAATATGATATTTTTATTGAATTTTTTGAAAATATCAACTAATTCAGAGCATCATGTCTCACAAATCTGAAAGCTGGGGGGGGGGGGGGGGGGAGGGGTGCAGATGGGCATTTGTCAAGCTCTAACACAACCAGTTGAGGATCTATAATGTAATATTTGTTATAATTAATGTCTACACCACAGGAGATGTATAAACGAATATTATAAGGAATGGAAAAATCCTTCAAATCCTTGTATCAAGGTAGACATGATTTTCTTGCATTCTATACTGTTTATGACAATTGAACAATATTTGACGGGTGTATCATGCTGTGGCGGGGCACTTTATTGTTTTATTTTGTGTTGTAACTAAGATAAAGCCAACAGAAGATAGCACAAAATTGGTCATTTATGTGTAATTTTATCAACTTCCTTCAAGGATGTGCAATATTAACTTCAAGTTTATGATAATTTCTTAACAAGGCACAGAAAAACTTTAAGTAAAAAAATGTTTAGTTTCTTCTCTAGTTTCAGAAAATATAAATTGTTTTGTTATAACTCGAATATTTAGAAAACACCAACAATGTAATATCTGTGATGGTGAAAATGCGTCCAAATGCGTCTCTGGGGGTTAAAGGGTTAATGCCTGTCTGAATATGAGGATTTAAATTAAAACATAAATGATGATTTAGAAGTTTTTAACAGGTCCAGTCCACAGACTATTTCTACTTAGGTAGCTATTAATAGCTACATACAGGTATTTAAACCTATTCAAAGTAGCTATTTTTACCTACTTTTTGTATTACTTGCATTTTGTGGCCAAACGGCAGAACGGCGCAACATGGTGAGTACCAATCGAATTTCTTGATACAGTCACAATGATTATGAACACGGTAAAATTTTAGCCAAAAAAATGATTACTTTGTAAATTAACAATTTTGCATAGAAATTAATGCTGTTACAAAGGAATGGGGAAAGGAAGCCAGAAAAAAATAGCACATTCATATTAAATGAACAGTAAAAGATTATGTTCAAGAAGAAAAGGAAGGGCACCCCCCCCCCCCATAACCTTCTACTATGTGCATGATGATAGATTGTGTTATCAGATGCTACGTGTAAATTCATCGATCTGAGGTACATAATATTCTGTGAGTGAAAGTGAAAAAAAAATGAAAGGGATGAAGCATTAATTTAAAAAAAAAAGAAAGAAAAGATTGTCAAAACTAGTTAAATAACTATTGTGTGTTTATTAGCTTGTTGGGGGGGGGGGGTCCCTTTTTAGCTCACCTGAGCTGAAAGCTCAAGTGAGCTTTTCTGATCACCCGTTGTCCATTGTCCATCCGTCTGTCTAGCTGTCCGTCCGTCCGTCTGTAAACTTTTCACATTTTCAACTTCTTCTCAAGAACCACTGGGCCAATTTTAACCAAACTTGGCACAAATTATCCTTGGGCAAAGGAGAGTTTAAATTGTTAAAATAAAGGGCCAAGTTCCCTTACAAGGGGAGATAATCAAGAAAAGATAAAAATAGGGTGGGGTCATTAAAAAATCTTCTTCTCACGAACCACTGGGCCAGAAAAGCTGAAACTTATATGGAAGCATTCTGGGATAGTGTAGATTCTAAATTGTTAAAATCATGACCCCCTGAGGTAGGGCGGGACCACAATAGGAAATCCAAGTTTTACATTGAAATATGTAAGAAAAATCTTAATCTTCTTCTCAAGAACCACTGGGCCAGAAAAGCTGAAACTTATGTGGAAGCATCCTCAAATAGTGTAGATTCTAAATTGTTCAAATCATGACCCCCAGGGGTAGGGCGGGGCCACAATAGGGAATCCAAGTTTTACATTGAAATATAAAGGAAAAATCTTCTTCTCAAGAACCACTGGGCCAGAAAAGCTGAAACTTATGTGGAAGCATCCTCGGATAGTGTAGAATGTAAATTGTTCAAATCATGACCCCTGGGGGTAGGGCGGGACCACAATAGGGAATCCAAGTTTTACATTGAAATATATAAGAAAAATCTTTAAAAATCTTCTTCTCAAGAACCACTGAACCAGAAAAGCTGAAACTTATGTGGAAGCATCCTCTACTTGTTTAGATTCTAAATTGTTAAAATCATGACCCCGGGGATAGGGCAGGGCCACAATAGGGAATCCAAGTTTAACATTGAAATATATAGGAAAAATCTTCTTCTCAAGAACCACTGGGCCAAAGAAGCTGAAACTTATATGGAAGCATCCTCAAGTAGTGTAGATTCTAAATTGTTAAAATCATGACCCCCGGGGGTAGGCGGGGCTACAATAGGGAATCCAAGTTTTACATTGAAATATATAAGAAACATCTTTAAAAATCTTCTTCTCAAGAACCACTGGGCCAGAAAAGCTGAAACTTATGTGAGCATCCTCGGATAGTGTAGATTGTAAATTATTCAAATTATGACCCCTGGGGGTAGGGCGGGGCCACAGTAGGTATTACAAGGGAAGAAATCTGGTAAAGAACAGCATGGCCAAAGTTACTCAGGTGAGCGATGTGGCCCATGGGCCTCTTGTTTACCTCACCTGAGCCAAAGAGGGGCTCAATGGAAGATCAAAGTTTTACATGGAAATATATATAGAAATATATATAAAAAAAAACTTTTGAATCTTCTTAAGAAAAAGAAGTGTCATGGTTAGTTGTATTGATATACAAGCATTCTCACTTGGTGAAGATTCCAAGGTTGTGTAATCAAGGCTCCCAGGGGTAGGATGGGGCCACAAATAGGGGATAAAAGTTTTACATAGGAATATTTAGTAAACCTTTTCTCAACAAGTTTTTTCTTAACAAGTTTGGCCTTATATGTCATAATAATATACAAGCATTTTCAGGAAATGCAGATTTAAATTTGTTCAGATCATATGATATTTTGAGGTAGAGTGGGGATTAAATTTAAATGGAAATATTTGAGAAAAAAAGAAAGAAAAATTTTTAAAATCTTTGCTATAACAACTAGGCCATAATAAGTTATATGAGGACATCCTTGGGTAGTGAAGATTCAAATTTATTCAAATCTTGGCCACTTGGGGTAGGGTGGGGCTACAGTAGGGGATGAAAATTTTACATAATAATATAAAAGGAGAAAAAAAATTAAAACTTTTCCTCTGAAGAAAAGCAAAATCTGAACAACAGCAGGATCAAGGTGATCCAGGTGAGCATTATAGCCCATGGACCTTTTATTGTAAGTAAACAGCATTCATTGAATGAGGAATTGAACTAATGCATCAAAATGAACAGTAATTTATTACAATACATGTAAATGTCATTTTTAGAGGTGAGGTTTGCAAGTTTTGATAATAGTCAAAACTAGATACGTGTAAATTATTGGGAAAAAATACAGCCTTGTGTTTTTAACTTCTGCAGAATCTGCAGCAAAATTTTATTTTAAAAACCGCATCTTCACTTTATTTATATTAGTACTAATGATTCATTCCTTATTGCTTAAATTACAGACGTATACATCCTAAATGGCGCAGTACAAAATATATGATCCTGAGCAAGAGATCCCCTGCCCATACAACAAATGTGAAATGATAAGAGCCAAGCGCATGCCATATCACCTCATCAGATGCAGGAGGGTCAGTCAAATTTAATAGAGCTTTTCTATGTAAAAATATGTATCAGAGGCATGTTAATTATAATTATAGTAGAGGTACATGCTTGATTTATTACAATATAATATGCATTGGGAAGTTTTACAGAATATAAAAGTTATTGAACACTTATGAAACCACAAAATCAAATCCCCTCAAACCCACATTTCCCCTCAAACCATGAAAATTTCACCTCAAGAAATGAGTGATTTTACAGTACTAAACTAATAAATTATTAAACAAGGTAACATAATCCGGAAATTACTGGTATGAGATAGGGTTAGAAACATATATTTGCTATACATCTACATAAGATTTTTTTTTTTAAATGTGCCTTAAATGTTTACAGTATAACACGCTTATAGTGAACTTGCTTATAACGAATGGATGCTAAATACAGCTAAGTGATTTTCATTTCCTGTGGCTTTAAAATATATTGTGAAACTTAATGGATATAATGAATTATGTTTATAACAAAGCGAAATTGTCTGTCCCTGGCACTTCATTATAAACGTTTTGCAATACATGTACAGTAAATCTCGTTTAGTGTGAACATGGATATATATTATAATAGTGAATTTATGGATATCGCAAATTTTTTTGCAATAACTGGAAAAATTTTAAACAATTCCTTATGAAATTTATGGATACAATTATGAATTAAGATATAGCGAATTTACGGTTATAGCGAACTGATTTTGTGTCCCCTAGAGGTTAAAAATAAGGAAATGTGCATCTTTTATAACGAATTTTTAAAGATCTAAATTTTTGAAATATTGAACTGGCATTAGTTTGTGAGTATTTTTTATATTTGAAACCCAATTCATAGGAAAACTATTGAACTCGAAGATAAATTTTTAAAGTTTTACTGTATTATCATTGGATGAACTATAAGTTGTATATATTTCATTTACATGTAGTGTAGGTAGTGGGTTTGTTGTTTTCTAGAGGATTTATGTTCTTCAGAAGTACATTGTCATCATCGGATACCTACGGGTGATCTCATCTTTTACTCATCACAAGATCACCTGAGGGTATCCGACAATGGTGTAATTGTATGAATTATGGTACATAATTGAAAGATTTATTCATCTTACTTAAAAGTAACTTATGCTACATAATTATGTAATTCACAATTACATAAAGATTTAGGTGCAGTTGTTCACTCAGGAAATTTTGCAACAATAATTTTACATTACATACAAAAAGAAATGTTATTCAAAATTAAAATAAACACAATTTCAGCAAAGTTTTCAGGGCAAAATTTGACAGAAATGGCCATTTAACTTGAAAATTTCAAAAGGAATAAGTCATTTATTTCTGTGATAGTTATCTCTTTTATCAGAAGGTCAACCTTAACTCATGGTACATATATTGGTGATTAAGGTGAATTTATGGTATATATGTTTAGATTCTGCTTGTAGAACCATCCATGTTCAGAGTATGCCAGCTGTCCCTTGAATGCCACTCATGTGGTGCCAAAACCTGAGCTACGGTACCACCTGGAAAACTGCCCAGATAAACCACGACTGGAACAGAATATCGCTTTTGGTGAATATGAAAATCACTGAAAATCACTGAATATATTTTTTAACTCTTCTGGCAAATTTAGCAATGAAGCCAATTAAATTGTTGTACATGTATACATTTTAAATGTTTCTGTTGATTGATGTGTCATTTAAGAAGATGCACATATGACTTTTTTATTGTATATACAAAAACTTCTTTATATGCACAACCTGAAGACTTACATGTAGATAATGAGAAATGTTTTTTGGAATCCATTTTTATATATTTACATTTGCAAATGTTTTCCTTTAAATAACACTACTGAAAGCAATGCGTATCTATATCCGTATAAATACAGGTTCCTCGCGTCATAAACGCACGACGTAATTTCTCAGTGACGTCATAAAGGGTCGATGCGCAATCAATGGATTAAAAACGTTCCATTGAGTTTGAAAAATAAAAACATTTCAGACGTTAAAGATTATAAACAGACAAATATAAAATATAAATAGATCACAAATGTAAATATAAGTAATAAGGTATCATTTTAAAACATCTATAGGGCTATAAATACGGGTTGGTACGAGATCAAATTTACCATAAAGCCCTTCGGGCTTTATGGAATTTGATCTCGTGAACAACCCGTATTTATAGCCTGATAGATGTTTTAAAATGATACCTTATTTCTTAAATGAATGACAATAAAAATCACAATTTTTGGGGGGTCAAACTTTTGTGGTTTGATGGAAAAATACTGGTTCCTGGGGATTTGATTTTCTGACCGAAGGAATGAGTGTTGTAAGTTGAATACAGTGTTAACACTTTGTGGAGGAGATAAATTTGTGGGTCTTTTCATATCATGGGGAAAATGAAAATTAAACCCCCACCAAAATAAATACAAGTGATTTCACAGATTTTGTTTACTTAAAGATAACATCTAGTGAGCTCAGTTCAAAGCTCAATTTCAAAGAAACTATCCATGACATTTTTTTCAAACTTCATATGCTGATAGATATTGATGAGAACTAAGCAACTGCATCAACATTTTTTTACCTTGACCTTTCCTTTGACCTTGACCTCACTTTTCCTAAATTAGTGTTAGCTCAGTTTTAAAGATACCATTCAAGGTAGTGTAATCAAACTTTATATGTTGATACAAACTGATATAAACTATTCATATGCAACAACATTTTTTTGACCTTGACCTTTCTTTTGACCCTGACCTCACTTTTCTTAAATGAGTGTTTAGCTCAGTTTTAAAGATACAATTCAAGATATTTTTATCAAACTTCATATGCTGATACATCCCAATGAGAGCTATGCAACTGCATCAACAATTTTTGACCTTAACCTTTCCTTTGACCTTGCCCTCACTTTTCTTAAATTAGTGTTTAGCTCAGTTTTTAAGAAACTATTCAGAACAGTGTAATCAAACTTTATATGCTGATACATACTGATGAGAGCTATTCAATTGCACAACATTTTTTGACCTTGACCTTTCCTTTGACCTTGACCTTACTTTTCTCAATTTGTGTTTAACTCAGTTTTAAAGAAACCATAATATTTTTATCAAACTTCATATGTTAATACATACTGATGTAAGCTTTTCAACTGCATCAACATTTTTTGACCTTGACCTTTCCTTTGACCTTAACTTCATTTATTTTAAGTAAATGTTTAGCTCTGTTTTAAATAAACCATTCAAAATATTTTTATCAAACTTAATATGCTGATACGTATTTGTGAGAACTATTCAACTGCATCAAAAATATTTGATCTTGAACTTTCCTGTGACCTTTACCTCACTTTTCTTAAATTTGCATTTTGCTAAGTTTTAAAGAAATCATTTAAGATATATTTATGTAAGCTTATGCACTTTTACATAATTTGGTGAGAATTTATCATCTATATCCAACTTTTTAGATTTCAATTTTAAAGAAACTATTCAAGATATTCTCATTAATTTCGTACACTAATACAAAATTTCATGTTGCATTACTAATATACCCTCGGTGGGGCCGTTGGACATATTTCTAGTTTCCTTTTGGGATTCTCTTTTTGTTACTATCTATACAGCAACAATTTTTCTGTGAAAATTTGTCACAGCGTACTAAAAGTACCTACATATAAGAAATCCTATGACAATCCAAGAAATCTGCATAATTTTCTATCCGCGGATTGAACAGAGTCTGTCCTTCAGCCGAATTATGACCCCATGGATATATATATTTACAATAGTGTACATGCACCATATAATGTTACAGCATTGATTTACAAGTTAAAAATTTGTTTGAATATAGAATTAAGTCAGTGACTGATGGAAATATTTTTTCGTGTTTTATTACTCATTGTTTTAAAATTGGTTTTTTTTTTTAAATCAGATGCACAGAAGAAGGAAGGAAGCACACTGTTTACTGGTTGTACAAAGTTACCCACGTACAGTCAAATAGACTTAAAGGCTGATGATGACTGGGAGAAAGGTGTCAGACTCGTACAATCAGTTCATCATATAGAATCACACTGCCTTCTGGAATGCAGAATTTAATTTATTGTATTCTACATCAAATATCAAAAAAAAAAAAAAAAAAATAATGATTATCACTTACCGTAAATAAATAATGGACATGTAAATGAGAAGATTTTTTATAAGGAAAATATTCCTGTTTTAATACATTATCTTAACATTTTTCTTATTTCTAGAAATTCCTCTTCTTCCTCGTATTGGAGTGGATCCAAATATTTTTGCCAAAATGGAAGGAATTCAACTACAAGGGTAAGCTTTATTAGATAATACGCCATTTTCAAAAATAAATTTCCCTGATCATTTAAATATTTAAAATGATTTTTTTTTTCAACTAGACTTACATCAGCAGAGAAAAAACACATGAAGGCACAATATGCTTTACCACCAGAGGAAAGAAGGTATATCTACATACAAGTGTTTAGTAATAAAAAAAAAAGAAAGATATTGTAACCAAAAATTTCAAATTTTTTCAAACCCACCTCAATCGTAATAAAAATAAAATTATTTTCTGATTGTCATTTTAGGTACTTTAAAAATCCAGATAAACCAGGAGAGCAGACAACAGGTGATCCAAACCAGGAAGAAGAGGAGGAGGGGGAGTTAAGGATTCCTAAAAAAGCTCCCCAGACCTACGTCCCCAAACCACAGTCAACCAAACAACAACCACACACTGTGTTCACCTTTTCCTTATCCTCCACAGGGGTTGGCAGAGGTCAGTCAGCCACAGCTGGGGAACAGCCCTCCTTGGAGGGTGTGGGGATGGGTGTTGGTCAGGGGATTACAGGGGTTGGCAGAGGGAGGGCAGATTCAGTACGGCATGGCAGTGAAAAAATGAACAATTCGTTGAACATGATTGGGAGAGGACAGAGTATCAGAGGACATCAGGTGATGAGGGGTGGTGCTGGAAGGTTGATGACAGCAGGCACTGGACGAGGTGTTTCCATGGACAGACCAGGAAAACAAGGTACAGTGGATTATGTTTGTTGAGCTTTGTCATCTTTGATTATCTACATTTTGTTACTGCAGCATTGAATTCATTAAAAAAAAAATGCAACAAAATATAGCTGTTTATACAGTAATTGAAAATAATATTAAAATCTAAATTGGAGGGGAGGGGGGTCCTAGGTATAAAGGGAGAAATGAGTTGGAAAAAAATGGGGAGCTTGTTCAAAACCTTTAAAAACCTCTTTATTAAAATTTTCTTACTTTTTCAGATTGAAGTCCAAAAAGAAGTTCTTGAATTTGAAGACTTTATCTTCCAGTAAATATGAAAACCTGTCATAAACTGTATTGAGTGTCACCACTTATTACGTTACAAAGAATGTGGAGTTCTCAGAATATGATTTTTTTGTTGATTATTCTGATTCCTTACTATCAAAGAACTATACATGTATTTACATGTAATTGAAAATTTTTTTTTGGTTAATTGGGTATGTTTCATATGAGGTACATATATTGTATGAGATTAGTTTTGTTACTGAACATACTATTGACATTATTTTAGGTGTGTTGTAATTTACACATACTTTTATTTGGTAATAATTTGCATCGAATTCAGATGCATTATTTTAATCTATATTGTTTTACCTTTATTTTGTAACTTTCAAAAAATGATGCATTTTCATGTGCATATTCTTGTGTTTATCATGTAAAGTGAATTGGAACATTTTACTAGGGATACTTTTTTAATAATATACCCATTATACTTATATATACATGTATAAGTAAATTGTGTTTTTTTTCAGATTATTTTGAAGGAATTTGCCATTGACCCGCATATGTTTCTAGGACTCTCATACAAGTTGGATATATAGTCTTTCACAAAAATTAATTAATTCCCAAAAATCCAACATAACGCAAATATACAGTATATATCATTATCATTATTCATTTTATTAGATGCAAAGTTTGAGCAGTTATTCAGAAGGAGTTATAAATGATTGAAAGTTTTGGATGGTATCAGAAAATGCAGGAATGATACGTGTAGTCGTGTACATGTATATATGCAATGGAAAGACTAATGTAGATGTTTAGTATAAGGACTTGTACAGTGGGCGGTTTGGAGGGATACCTATTGCTAACATTTTATGTAAAAATGGACTTAATGGACTAAAAGAGTTAAATATGAAAAATTATGTAGATGCGAGTTTGATATTTCAGACAATTTTCCATACTTTTAGTAAAGCATTGTTTTTGAGATGTTTTTGTTTTGTACAAATAAAATAGTGAATCTCAACAGCTCAGTATTTTGTATGTTTCTGTGTATGAGCAGGCTAACAAATTAAAATACCGAATTGTTGATGTTCCCAGAAGAGGATTCTCAACAAATCTTACACAGACCGGCAAACATTAATCACTTATTTAATTCCTAATTAAAAAATTCCAGTTACTCAAGGATATGCTTTATGCCAAGTTTGAATTAAAAAGCAAAAAGTACAAAACAGGTGCTCAACATCATTTTATTTGCCTTGAAAGCTTAGAATGGATATTTGAACTAAATTCTAATTTTATTGGAAAGTTTGCTGATGTGGTTGCAGCATTTTCAAAAAATAACTAGCATTGATTGCCTGACGGATAGAATGACCTACAAATAGAACAAGAAACATGTATGCCATGATTTTCATGTGCCTTAATATGACCCTTTGAAACAATGTTTCATTCTTAGGTCACTCAAGTCACTTGTAACTAAGGTGACCTATTGCTGTCTGTTTTAAGCATTGTCAGTCATCCGTTGGAACACTTTCAGATTCTTCTCAGAAACCATTCAACCAATTTTTGCACATAGCATCTATGAGAGAAGGAGAAATGTGAATTTCATAGTCCCTTGGTATTGGTGGATGGGGCTATAAGCCCCCACCCAGTATATTTTGCAGACAGACCAAGTACATGGATATCATGATGAGTATTAATGCTTCTTCTACAGTTTTGAGTCATGATCCATTAGTCAAGTGTTCTTGTGATAGGGCGAGGCTCTATTAAGTACTTAGTGAAAATTCATTAATTGAAAAATCTTTTTTGCTCCTAGGTATTTAGGAGATAAATGTATTTTCATGATGAACAAGAATGCCTCTTCCAAAATTGTGAAATTCATGACACCAGGGTAAGGGGTTCTGGTTTAATACACCAGGGCTCTTTTGATTACTTGTATATATATTGAGAATGCAATAATTCTTCGGAAATCTCTGCTCCTGGGTATTTCGCATACAAACTTAGTGCATGGCAATGATGAGTAAGGGTGTCTCTTCTAAAATTGTGAAATTTATTACCCCTGGGTCCAGGAGTTACACTCTGTACATGTATGGTGTAGGGCAAGGCTCTATAATTGATTATGTAGTGAAAATGCATTAATTCTTTGAAATTCTGTGCAGGGCTTACTTTTCCAAAAATTGTGAAATTCATGGCCCCTTGGTCACGAGTTCTTGTGTTAGGGCGGGGCTCTATTGATCACATAATGATTATTCAGTAATTCTTTGAAAATCCTTGTGCTCCTAGATATGTTTAGCAGAGTATTGAGCAAGGGTGTTTTTGTTTTTGTTTTTGTTTTTAACAGATTTGTGAATTCTTGACCACTGAGTCGGGAGTTCTTGTGCTAATCATGTGTCTTTATGTAGGGAAACTTTGTATCTATTTTAAGAGACCCCCCCCCCCGTTTTTACTCACCTATAATATTTAATCACTGTAAATAATGTAGTTGATAGGTCAATATTCAATAGAAGAATGATATAAGAATTAATGTATAACATAAAATTAATGGTCAGGTAGACTTTAAAATACATGTACATGTGATAGATGAGTAACAAGATGTGTTTGTGAAACACTGATGCCCCCGTATGGCAGCTTATGGCGAAGGTTAAAGTTTCTTGAATGCAAGTCAAACTCCAAGTCAAGAAATCAAAAATGTTGGTACCCAAAGAAAGGTCTTGTCTCGAGGAATATATCTGTGAAATATGAAAGCCCTAGTACAAACCGTTGAAAAGTTATGGCGAAGGTTAAAGTTTTTTCAAAAACGGCAAGGTCAAGGTCAAATGGTGCCCAAAGAAAGTTCTTGTCACAAGTGATACACATGATCGTGAAATGTGAAAGCCCTAGAACCAAATGTTCAAATATTATGGCCAATCAATGTTAAAAATTTCTAAAAGTAGGTCAAAGTTCAAGGTCAAGGTCAAAGGGTAAGAGTTGTTGGTATCTAAAGAGAGGTCTTGTCACAAGGAATGCATATGTGAAGTATGAAAGCCTTAACACCAACTGTTCAAAAGTTATGGCCAAGGTTAAAGTTTTTCAAAAGTAGGTCAAACTCCAAGGTCAAGGTCAAAGGGTCAAAGTTGTTGATATCTAAAGGAAAGTCTTCTCATAAGGAATGCATATGTGAAGTATGAAAACCGTAGCCCTAACTGTTCAAAAGTTATGGCCAAGGTTAAATTTTTCAAAATTGAAGTAGGTCAAACTCCAAGGTCAAAAGGTCAAAATTGTTGGTATGCAAAGAAAGGTCTTGTCACAAGGAGTACACATGCAAAGCAAGAAAGACCTAGCTCAAACTATTCAAAAGTTATGGCCAAGGTTAAAGTTTTTTCAACAGTAGGTCAAACTCCAAGTTCAAGGTCAAAGGGTCAAAGATGTTGGAATCCAAAGGAAGGCCTTCTCACAAGGAATACACTTACTAAGTTTGAAAGCCCAAGCTTTAAGTGTTCAAAAGTTATGGTCAATTTTAAAGTCTCAATAAAATTTGCAAAAGTTGGTCAAACTCCAAGGTCAAGGTCAAAAGGTAAAATATGATGGTACACAAAGAAAGGTCTTGTCACAAGGAATACACATATGAAATATGAAAACCATAGCTCTAACCAATCAAAAGTTATGGGCAAGGTTAAAGTTTTTGCGGACAAACAGACAGACAGACAGACAGACGGGCGGACAGGGCAAAAACTATATGCCCCCGAATCTTCGATAACGGGGGTATAAAATTGAGACCAAAATACCTTATTTTTGTCCATTAAATGTTATTCAAAGAGCAAGAGAGGCCAGCTAGTGGCATTTAGATTTTGCAGGGTGTATATAATTGTTTATTATGCTAAAACACTGAAAGTGTTTTTATAAGTTTAATTGGTGGTGGAGATAGAGTGAACATATATAGGCAAGTAAGTAAATCTACTTTTTGAGTGTTTGCTGATTACCAGATGAACTATTTAATTGATCCCTGATTATTCTATTTCTATTATTTTTTAGCAACATTCATCTACCAGTCTATTTTGTTTTATTATATAATATAATTAATTGTCATTTATTGATCCTTTACAGGGTTGAATTATACTCAGGTGACCGTTAAGGCCCTTAGGCCTCTTGTTCTACTAAAAAAAAATTGTTGTAAATTTGTGCAATCCCCAACAATTTTTATACACGTATAGCATATGCTTTGTTTATACTTGGACAAACAGACCCAATATCTGAGTGAATACATGTAGATCCCGGTCAAATATGTTCTTGGGTGAATAAACCACAGGTGCTCGAGGACAGGACCCCCCCCCCCCCCCCCCCCCGATATAGACCCCCGGGCCTGTTCTTTTTTTTTTCTCATGAATTATATATGGAGACTCATTTGTGATTTAATCTCTATATAATCAATTCGGAAAATTACGGAAGCCCATTTAGGACCTATCAAAAAATATTTTCGAATTCGATATAACGAATTGTAGAATTTGTTATAACGAATTTAATTCGTTATAACAATTTCTTTGAATTCGTTATATAACGAATTTAATCTGTTATGAAATTCGTTGAATTCGTTATAACGCATTCAAAAATTTGTTATAACGAATTAAATTCGTTTAAACGAATTCTAAGATTTATTATAACAAATTTAATTCGTTATAACGAATTCAAAAATTTGTTATAACGAATTAAATTCGTTAAATCAAATTCATCAATCAGGGCCTATAGAAAAATATGAATTCGATATAACGTACGATTTGTCGGATTCGTTTTAACGAATTTAAATCGTTATAACAAATTAGAGAATTCGTTTTAACGAATTTAATTCGTAATAAATCTATATATATATATATATATATATATATATATATAGTTTCAAAATTTGTTTTAACGAATTTAATTCGTTACAACAAGTTCAAAATTCGTTATAACGAATAAAATTCGCTATAACGAATAAAATTCGTTATAACGAATAAAATTCGTTATAACAATTTTTTGAATTCGTTATAACGAATTCAATAAATTTGTTATAACAGTTTAAATTCATTATAACAAATTCAAAGAAACTGTTATAACGAATTCAATTCGTTATAACAAATTCGACAACACGGTATATCGAAATCAAAATATTTTTTGATAGGTCCTAAATGGGCTTCCGTAGAAAATTGACTTAAACAAACATTTTATAAAAATTACTACCCTACCCTATATATATATAATTATAAATTAACAAGGTTGTTTTATATATAGAGAAAGGGTGGGGTAGATTTTATAAAATGTTTGTTTTAGTTAATTTTTCGAATTTTTGGTATAGATTATATCACAAATCATGGCCGTAGGAACCGGGGGGCACGGGGGGGGGGGGCGTGCCCCCCTCCCAATAATTTTGCCGATATATAGATAACTATAGTAAACTTAGATATTATATGCTTGTGCCCCCTCAATAGAAACGTCTGATGACCTTTTTTTTTTCTTGTCAAAGAATTTTTGGTAGTTGATAGTGCCCCTCCAACTGAAAATGTATGGCTTTGCCCCCCCCCCCAAAAAAAAAAAAAAAAAAACAACTGAATTTGCCTCCTACGGGCCTGCAAATATGTCATTGAAAGATAATTTATGAGAGTCGAAAAGGCCCGGGGGTCTATATCGGGGGGGGGGGGGTCCTGTCCTCAAGCACCTGTGGAATAAATCTAATAGTGAACAAACCTAATACCATGAAACCAGAATTCACATGTACAGGTTATTCTACTCCATTAAAATAAAGAAAATTGTAAGGAAGCACAGATTAAAAATATACCCTTATTTGTCCAAAAAAAATCTGATATCATATATATTATAAATATTAGAGACAAAAATAAAATAATGTTGTTTATGTTACTGATAATATCAATAATTCTAAATCTTAATTCATTATTCACATGTACAGTGTATAAAGCTCATGAATATAGGAAGCTTCAATTAATTAAATTAGCATGCAGATTGTTAAATTCATTCTCAGGAAAGGCTAAAAATCCTTTTTGGTAGAGAAAAAGATAGCTTTTAAAAGGCCAAAACTTTCCATTAAAATAACAACAACAAAAATCCTGGTCGTTAACCTCAGAGTGATGGGCGGGGGGGGGGGGGGGTTACGTTCTTAGCAATCTTAGGAAACATGTAAACATGAAGTTAAAAATAAATACGGAAAACTAATTTTCAATGAATATCTTGAAAATTACACAAACTTCTATCAGTACTGATTAGCAGACGGCACGACAAGGATAAAAACTTTCTCAAATGCAAATCAAATATGTTGGTACCCAAAGTAAGGTCTTGTCTCGAGGAATATACATGTACCTGTGAAATATGAAAGCTCTAGCAGCAACCATTGAATAGATATGGAAAAAAATTAAAGTTTTTCAAAAGTAAGTCAAACATCAAAGTCAAATGGTCAAAATTAATGGTACCTTCTCACAAGAAATATACAGGTGAAATATGAAAGCTGAAGCACCAATCGTTCAAAAGTTATGACTAAGGTTAAAGTTTTTCAAAAGTAGGTCAAACTCACAGGTCAAGGTCAATGGATTACAATTGTAGGTATCCAAAGTAAGGTCTTGTCACAAGGAAAAAATCATCTTAAATATGAAAGCCCTAGCACCAACTTTTCAAAAGTTGTGTACAAGGTTAAAGTTTTCCAAAAGTAGGTCAAAGTCCAAGTTTTTCAAAAGTCAAACATCAAGGTCAAATGGTCAAAATTAATGGTGCCCAAGGAAAGGCCTTCTCATAAGAAATACACATGTGAAATATGAAAGCCGTAGCACCGATCGTTCAAAAGTTGTGTCCAAGGTTAAAGTTTTCCAAAAGTAGGTCTAAGGTCAAGGTCAGAGGGTCAAAGTTGTTGGCATCCAAAGGAAGGTCTTGTCACAAGGATGACATATGTGAAGTTTGAAAGCCCTAGCACCAATCGTCCAAAAGTCATGGCCAAGGTTAAAGTTTCAAAAGTAAGTCAAACTCAAAGGTCAAGGTCAGAGGGTCAATGTTGTTGGTATCCAAAGTAGGGTCTTATATGTGAAGTATGAAGCCCTAGCACCACCCGTTCAAAAGTTATGGCCAATGTTAAAGTTCTTCAAAAGTAGGTCAAACTCCTAGGTCAAGGTCAAAAGGTCAAAGTTGTTGATATCCAACGGAAGGTCTTGTCACAAGGATTATACATGTGAAGTACGAAGTACGTATGACCAACCGTTCAAAAGTTATGCCCAAGGTTAAAGTTTTGTAAAATTTTGCAAAACTGGGTCAAACTCCAAGGTCAAAAAATCAAATATGATGGTATCCAAAGAAAGGTCTTGTCACAAGGAATACACATGTGAAATATGAAAGCCATAGCTCCACCCAATCAAAAGTTATGGGCAATGTTAAAGTTTTTGCGGACAAACAGAAAAACAGACAGACAGAAGGACGGACAGGGCAAAAACTATATACCCCCGAATCTTCGATACGGGGGCATAAAAATAGATTTCAGTACATATAGCTATCACAGAACATTGTCAAAATGCGATGAAAGGGGCTATAATACGAATATTTTACGTATGATTGCTTAGATATTTTTAGGGTCTGTCTTGCGCTTGTCAAGTTCCAAAAATATGACCAAAAAAGAGCTCTGTTTTGACGTTGATCGTAACGCACCACAACAATCCGAAATGACTCAGTCAATTGTTGTACAGGGTAAATATTTTGTTGTTGTTATTGTTTTAGATGAATTCATTGATTTATAAACCATAAGATAAGATAGAGGGAATGCTATACAATATTTGTATTGAATTAAATAGCAGTAGAGAACACAAATAACAATAGTTATTTATCATGTTTGTCTCTGATATATGATAGCGTGCAAATTTTTCTGTATCCCCACTTTAGGAGATTTATCCCTCGAAAGATCCTACACTTCTTGGTAATGAATATCACAAACTGTGATAGGCAGTATCCAGTCGATATTTTGCGTGTATTTTGACACATGTGACAATGAACAACTAATTTTTTGAATTATTCCGCTGTTTAACACTGTTTATTAACTAGAAATAGTTATTTCTTTACTGGAAAATGCTTTTCTATGCTTAAATACACATTTTCATAAAAACCGGATCCGATCACCCGGGACAAACCTGAAAATTCCGAAATAATGATATCGCCGTTCTTTTTTTTTTCATAGGGGGTTCTGAGGTTGTAAGCCATCACTTTTGTGGTATTGTCTAGCTCTTACCTCTTGGAAGTATTTAAATATAAGTACATCACGACAATTTCCAACTTCCTCTCCCCAATTAACATAATAAGCCACTTTTGTTTTCCCAAGCAGCTTAATTATGTGTGATTAACATGATTAAAGTTTGGCACAAGATTTTGTATTAATATCCATATAAATTATATATGTAAAGATTCTTAAAATATTTTCAATTTCAATAAAATTTAAATGAAATCATCCACTAAATAACTTGAATAGAGTTTTTTTCCGGTGACAATAGCAAAAAGTAATGAACAAGTATTTCAGATTTTTTTGTGTTTGTCCCGGGTGATCGGATTCGGTTTTGATGACCCAGTTTTTGTTAAGACGTGTTATTTTACTCAATGGAAACACATTTCAAGGAAGAAATGATTAAAAATAGTTTAAATATACTGTTAAACATTAGAATAATTCATAAATTTATTAGCTTTTTGTCAAATATGTCAAAAAAATCGTAAAATGTCGGCTTACTCATCTTACTGTTGCCTACCCATTTTACCAACTTGGAAATCAACAATCGCTGATAAAATCTATTATAGCGAGTATTTCAAGGTAATTTTTACAGTGAATACAAATAAACTTATATTAAACATAATCTGAAAATTTCAGCTTGATTGATAAAGTATTAAGACAGAAAATTGAAAAATCTTGAACAGCCCCGGTTTTTAATTTGCCCCGGCCCGGGTTTGCCTACCCATTTTACCAACACTCTAATGAAAATACAAAAAAAATCCTAAAAAAAAAATAAATACTGAAAGTCGAGTTTTCAGTTGTTGTCCATGTTGTCAGTAAATTCACTCATGCATGTAAAGTACTCAAACACAAAGAAATCAGTATAAAATCACGTCATGTCATTCTTTTATGCTGTCTTTTTGATACCTGAGTACTTTTCATGCATGAGTGAACACACTGACCACAACTCATAATTCGACTTTTAAATTTAATTTTTTAAGATTTTTTTTTGTATTTTCATTGCATAAAATACCTTGATCAAGGTATTTGTAATACCTTAATAAAGCTATATAGCTTTATCAAGCTATATACCTTTATCAGGGTATTGTGCTGGACCAGTTTATAGCTAAATTAAAAAAAAGTTTTGCAATGTTAAATAAATACTGACTGGGATTGAAGGCAACACTGATTATGTTAGCCCCTAGGGATTAAATATTGCCCAACGCATAGCAGCACATATGCAATGTTCAACTCAATTGTTTCCCATGCATTATCTGCACGATGACTGTAAGTGCTAGCAAATTTTCAAGTTGTCATGATTATGTTACAGTACCCTGTGTTTTTTTTTTTTATTATTTTTAGGTTATATTTTTTTTTTTTGGAAGTCATCATCATATCATTTAACCACATTAAATCAATCTACTAATCAGAATCAAAATCAATTATAACTCTTTGCCGGTCAATAGTAAAAATTAAATGACTCATTTTTGGGTGGAGCCTATATATCACTGTTTCTCTGTATAGAGAATATACAAGAGACTATTCTTTACTGAATGTGACAGAAATTTATCTCCCATTCCCCAATGGGATAATATATACCAAATGGCCTTTTATATCCCATTTGGGAAATTGGTTCCAATCTGTTTAAAGCTATTGCATATTTGGAGTTGGAGACTATTTCGATAAGATTTTTTGAATCATTAATTTTACCTTTTATTATTGCATTAAATATTTTTGTATTTTCAAGTCGGTCAATGTGGAAACCAGATTGGGTGCAGATTCTGGGATTTAGCATTACGGGAGCATGCTGCTGTCAATAAAGTAGGTACAATATGCAGGTAAACTAGTGGCGGGTGATCCATTTCATATTATTTGTAGTCATAATTGCCAGTAAGCGTGTGGCTATATACTATTCCGGGTTTGTCTTTCACATTTTCCCTCATCCTGTTACACAACAGAAGAGCGAATTTTGTGAGTTGCATTTCATTTTTACAGAATGGTGTCTATGATGAATCTGTTGGGAGTTTTTTTAGGAATGTTGATTCTCGATATGAAAACCCATCAGATATTCCTTTGGGACAAGGACAAGGGAAGATAAAGTCTCTAAAAGCAAGAGTGAGTTAATGTGAGATAAAATATGTACTTGATTGTAGCTCATAAATCAGTTATTTATATGGAACTTCCTTTGCTAAATTTAATGTTTAGCAAAGAGTAGGGTTCGGATATTCTTACTAACATTTACCAAGCAAATCAATTTCTATGGTTTTACTGTTGGTTTTACAATATATCATATTTATTTATTCATTACAGATCACTGTTTTTAGCTCTACTGGTCAGAGACCAGAAGAGCTTATGCGATAGTAAGGTGTCTGCGTCCGTCCGTCTGTCTGTCTGTCTGTCCGTAAACAATTTTTCAAAACGCTACTCCTCGTACAGTTTTGGTCTGATTTCAATATAACTTGGCACACAAGTAGACTACACTAAGATACATAATTTAGTGCATCGGTTTTTGATTTCGATGAACGGTGTTGCCATGGTTACTAAAAATAGAAATTTCTGTAAAATTCCTTTAAAACGCTACTCCTCCTACAGTTTTGGTCTGATTTCAATATAACTTGGCACACAAGTAAACTACATTACAATACATTATTCTATTTATTGCTGCGTGCTGCAAAGTTTCAAATCCAAGTGCTACTTATCCTTTGTTATTTGTACAGACCAGTAGAGCTACAGTCTCATCAGAGACTTCTGGTTGTTATTTGTAGGCAGTCCTAGTAGACATGGAGGAGGGCGTGGTCAGTGAGATGACCAAGGGACCACTGAGAGAAGTGTTTGATTACCAGCAGCTCATCACTGATGTCTCAGGGTCAGGAAATAACTGGTAGGTCATGCTGTATACTGTAGACACTGGAAGTACATAGGTGGATTAAAACATCCAAGACACAGACCTTATGACTGACATACCAGAATTATAAAAAAAAAAACTCAGATAGGCTACCCAAGTTTGCTGATGAAATACTTATAAAGTAAATTATTAATGACATAAAATTCTACTTTCTTTTCAGATATATTTACATATAAACAATCTACATTACTATCAAATTCATTCTGAAAGCATGTGAGCATCGTAGCTCATGGGCCTCTTGTTTGTGATGAAGTCTTCTCCCGCTTTTCTGTAATATTGTGAAGCACAGATACTTCCATTGATTTAACAAAAATGTTTAACAGAAATGTTAATTGCAAGTTTCAAGCAGAAAAGTTATGGTGGCAGTACTAAGTTTTTAAAAACTTTAAAGGAAAAGGAGGGTATTGATTATGATGAAGAAAATGTCTGTGCCAAAAAAAATTTACTTGTAGGCAGAAGGTCACAGCATCAAAGAAGGTCATAAGTTTTCAGGTATAACAGTTGGATGTCTTGAAAGGGGCATTAAAAGATTAACTCAACTTCAGGAAGCAATATCAGCTATCCGTGATGATTCACAATAACATCATTTTTCTGTATTCAAGATTTATTCTTGGACACTATAAAATTATTATCATTACATAAATAAGTACCTGTATTTGATGCATGTGTTCTATTTTACTGATTTTTTCACTCTGTTTTATATAGGGCAGTAGGACACAAAATGTATGGAACTATGTACAAAGAGAAACTATCAGAGGTTATCCGGAGGGCAGCAGAATTCTGTGACTGTCTGCAGTGTTTTTTTGTTCTGCATTCAATGGGTGGAGGTAAGCTTTGTTTATTTTTACACAGATTTCTTTAAGGGTGAGCTTTGTGGCAATAAGTGCAGGCCCGTAGGAAGCAATTTCACTTTGAGGGGGCACAAAGCAATTTCATTTTGAGGGGGCACAACCATACATTTTCAGTTGGGGGGGGGCACTATCAACTACCAAAATTCCTTGACAAGCAGACAAGCAAAAAAAAAAAAAAAAAAAGGTCATCAGACGTTATAATTGAGGGGGCACAAGCAGATAGTAGCTATGTTTTCTATAGTATTCTATATGTCGGCAAAATTATTGGAGTGGGGGGGGGGGCACAGCCCCCCTGTGCCCCCCCCCCCCCCCAGTTCCTACGGCCATGAAGTGCTTGTACATATAGTTACTATAGTTTCATAAAGATTTGTGATGTTTGGTAGAGTTTGTATGAAGATAACTAATAAAGATGTACTCATTTGTACTGCTGATTTGGGGTTTAACCATCAAATTAAGATGGTTTCTCTCTTACTGAAGTCTTCAACTGATGATTACAAAAACTGACTTCTCAAACTCTGGCTAAAATAAACAATTATGACACATTTATAGCTATAACAAAGCAATTTACATTTCAGAGAAAATTTGTTATAATAATGATATTTCATCTGTTGATCACAGCACTAGTAAATCATTATCAGAACAGGGTGTCCATGATTTAAAGCCGCAAAGCAAGTGATAAATTCAGTTAGTAGTACATGTATCAAAATCAGAAAAAATTTTGTATGGAGAACAACAAGAACATATTTCCAATAGTAATTAAGTCACAAGGCAGTGGGAACTTGAAATTCTGGTTAATAAGAAACTAACAACACTTGCTTGGAATGAATGAATTCAAAATGCTCGTATGCCTTTGTCCCATGATGGTGACCTTAATGAGTCTCATGACCTTGACCTTGATTCATGTTACCTTGGTCAGGAGCAATATTAGGTTAAATTGAAGTACTTAAGATTAGGGGTGTAACAATATACCCGAATACTGCAATACATAAAAAAATTGTACATGTACTGTATCATGGTACAAAAACTGTCTACTGGTACCTGTTTATCTTGAATATAACATTTTAAGCATTTTACCTAATAAAAGTGAATTTCTTAAGCTGTTTTTATTGCGTTCAATGTTCAAAGCCTATTAAATGTTACATAATGTATTTTAAACTGAAGAAACAATCTACAACTTTTACATGTATCCTTTCATATTGATAGGGAATTTCCTATTTCAGAACAGAGACACACAAATTATATAAAAAAATTATGAAAGGTGAAATATTGTGATACATATGTTTATACAGTCCCAGTGTATCATGATATACGATTATACCATGATATGCTTTAGCTGTATGGTTACACCCCTACTTCAGAGCCAGAATTTGCAACTCTTGTTTGAAATAAATTCAAACTTTTTCAGTTTAAATTTTTATTTCATTGCCCATGAACCCAAGATAAGGGACAGTGAAAAGGGTCTCATAAAGAATAGGGGTGGCATAGCATCAATAACATGTACTGGTATATGTTTTATTAATACAACACAACAAATAACTATAGCAACATGACTTTTCAAGAGTTCACAGGTTTTTTTTTTTTTTTAAAAGGCTTTTTACTTTCACTTTTTTTTAATATGTGCAAATTTGCAATATGCAATTTCTACAGAAAATAATTCATCTGCGGAGAGTACATTAAATTACTATAAAATTGCAGAGAGGATTTAGGTAAATGATCACTTTTTAGTGTAAAATTTAATTGTGTTGATTCAGAATCATGATGATAACAATATAACAAAATTTCTTAATATTTAGTTCTTTTAATAATAAAATTAATGAAAATGAAAGAAAAATAGACAAACACCAGGATGAATGGAAAAAAAAAGAGAAAAAGAATCATAAATGCCCTATCACATATTTCTTTACATCCGTCAATAAAATGGGTTTATGTACATATATATGTGAACATGTATGTAAAATTTTATATGGCGAAGTAAGTTAAACAGATCACATGATAAATAATTCAATAAATGCTTAACTTAAAAGTAGCACTTTATAGAAGGGAATCCAAAGCCTAGCTGTTATTGATTGTGTGTAATCTGGGGGTATATGATCATGAGTTTCATCCAAGTATGATGAAGTATCAGGTTCTTTTATTCCATACCTCATATATTATTTAAGTAATGTAACAAAATAACAGTATTGCATAGGTAAAGTTGATGATTGGATAATAGTCCTTAGACACAAAGTTTTTATGACAACCACTTGTAGACTCGAATTTCTGAAAATTGTGTTCCTCTCAGCATCACAGCAACATTTCCAGCTCTTGTTACAGCAACATTCAAAGGCTTTACATCAGGTGCAATGTCATCTGTGTTTTGAACCAACGATCGTTGATAGTTACCATGATTGTCAAACACTTGCACCCTGAAATTCCCAGCATCAGCAACTATGACATTATCTCGCTTGTCTACGGCAACTCCCATGGGACAACACAGATTGCCAAACTTCCTTTTAAAGTTCCCAGCTGTGTCAAAGACTTTGATACAGTTGTTACCAGAGTCACTGACAATGATATGATCTTTGCTGTCCACTGCTATGAAGTTTGGTCCATCAAAGTGTTTGTCACCAGAACCATGCCATCCAAATTTTACAGACATTTTATTTTGATCTGTGAATACATAAATGTTATTGCCCTCCAGGTTTGAAATAATAGTCTGATTCTTTGAAGTTATAGCTATACCACTGGGTTTATCAAAGCGATAATAATCTCCAATAGTTTGAAGCACATGACCATCCATATTGTATAGTCTCATTATTGCCGATCCTGCACCATTTATTGCCAGAAGAATTAAATTGTCACGAGTCATTGTCACACCACTTATTTTACAGTCACAGCTAAATCGACCAATCAGTTCACCAGCATTTGCAAACACTAAAACTCGACTCCCTGCCAGATCTGTTACTACATATTCCCCGTTCTTTCCCACTGACAGTCCATAAGGTTTCATGAAGTCTGCTATGGTGGTTCCATGATGACCAAATCTGAGCAAAAGATCCTCATTGCAGGGGGCATTTGTTGCAGTAGCTGGTACGTTGGATGGAATGTCACTTGGTGCTTGTGGGTACAGATTACCAGAAACTGGAGAGACTGCAAAAAATAATATATTTATATTTAGAAAAACATCCTTTATCATCTTCAATCTTTTTCAACAAAATGATCATGCAATGCAGTTGCATGTCCATATGACAAAATTACATAATTCTAAGCAGATTTACACGTCACATTAAATAATAACCGTCCATTTTAAATCCTTATAACTGTCCAGAAATACAGTCATGTCAAAGTAAATCGATGACTAATTAACAGGCGAAAGCATGACAGTGATTCACTCTTTAGAGTAAATTCGAGTTACTTACCACTTCGAAGACTTCCGTCAATAGGGCTGCCTTTAGGGCGTGGAGGAACCATTGGTTTCTTGACCACAGTGTCTGAAAGACTTGATAGCAAATGGTTGTCTGGAAATTCACTCACACCTCCAAGTGGAATCATCGTTGGTTTCTGGCAAACGGGGCATGGAAATTGTCCCGAAGACTCATAACCACGACTCACTATGAAATCTGTCAGACAACCCTGACAAAATGAATGTAAACATGGCAGAGCTTTGGGTTTATCAAACTCACCAAAACATATCGGGCAAGTTAAGTGGTCCTCACGAATTTTTGTTCTCAAACTCATTGCCGAAACTGGACGAAATTTTGGACCTGTATCCATGTTTGTTTTTAACGGAAGTTTGAATTTTTGCCGTTCTGCCAACCTCCCCACGATTAGACATTATAAAAGTTGAATTGTTTACGTTCTTCAATCCGAAACGATCAAACGCAATGTGTACAATGTACATTTATTACATTTTCAACAGTGAAATACTGTGATATATTTATTGAATAAAAGTGATATTCTCTCACAGTGTGAAAGGATACCAAAATGATATTCTCTCACAGTGTGAAAGGATATCAAAGTAAGTAAAAAATAATTTCTGGCCTGTCATAAGGTAGAGATAGTAACTAAGCATGTTGATAGAGCTAAAACTGCAAATTTCGTCCCAAATATGTTGCTAAAATCCATGCTATGTAATGTTTTCAATCACAACTGCTAAGCTATGACGTCTCAACCGCTCAACTATGACGTCAAGCCTATGACACTGTTAAGAAAAGAAAGAGGCAAAGGGAAAATCAAAGAAAATGTAATAAACAGAAAATTCAATATTTTATAGATGAATATGGAATTTTTTTCACTCGTGAGACAGGATTTTTTTTTTATATTTTCACTCGTGCTTCGCACTCGTGAAAATATCAAAAAATCCTGTCCCACTCGTGAAATAAATTCCATATTCATCTACAAAACATTGAATATCCTCTATATATACAATATTGACATGAAATTGAACAGTTAAGATTTAGGGAGTTATTTAATTCGATACGTAATCAATGAACCAGAATTTTTTTCCAGGAGGCTCCCTCTTGACTAGATCATATTTTGTGATGGGAGCGGGAAAGGCCCACATGCAAAAAACTGAAAGAAAAAAAACCAACAAACAAGCAAACAAACAAACCAAAAAAAAAACCCCAACAAAACAAAAACAAAGCATTGATTCTTTGAATAGCATCCTCTCTCCTCCTGTATATTTTGCAGACAAACAAAGTACATGGATGTGATGAATAAGAGTGCTTTTTTTTTTCTAAAATTGTGAAATTCTCTGACCTTGGATCAGGGGTTCTGGACAGTGGTAGGACAGGGCTTTAATGATTATTATAGTGAAAATGCATCAATTCTGTGAAAATCTTCTCTGCTCCTAGGGAACTACATGTTACAGTAGCAGATAAAATAAGTGCATTGCTATGACTTGCAAGGGTGGCTCTTCCAGAACTGTGAAATTCATGGCCCCTGGGTCAGGGATTCTGGTGATAGGGTGGGGCTCTATAGATTATTTTGTGAAAATTCATTAAATTATTTCTTTGAAAATCTTCTCTCCTCCTATGCATTTAGCAGATAAACTAAGTGCATTATCATAAATAGCAAGGGTTCATTCTCCAAAATTGGGAAATTCATGGCCCCTGGGTCGAGGGTTCTGGTGTTAATACAGGGCTTTATTGATAATATACTTGAAAATGCATTAATTCTTTGAAAATCTTCTTCTTTGCTCCTGGATATTTTGCAGACAAACTAAGTGCATGGCAATGATGAGTAAGGATGCCTCTTCTAAAATTGTGAAAATCATTGCCCCTGTGTCAGGAGTTCTGGTTGTAGCCAGGGCGGGTCTTTTTTTATTATAGAGTGAAAATGCATCTTGTGAAAATCTTCTCTGCTCCTAGGTAATAGCAGATAAACTTCGCTTGTACATTGCTATGATGAGCAAGGTATGTGCCTCTTCCAGATTTGTGAAATTCATGACCCCTGGGTCAGGAGTTCTGGTGTAGGGATTACCGGTATATAGTGAAAATGCATTAATTCTTTAAAAGTCTTTTTCTCTGCATCTAGGTATTTAGCAGGATAATTAAGTGCATGATTTTGCAAGGGTTCATCTTCCAAAATTGTGAAATTAATGATCCCAGGGCCAGGAACTCTGGTGTTATGGTGGGGATGTAATGATCATGCATTGTATAATGATTATCAATTAATTTTTTGAAAATCCCTCTCTGCTCCTGGGTATTTAGCAGAGTTTTAGCACGGATGTTTTTACCAGATTAGTGAAATTCTTGACGACTGAGTCAGGAGTTCTTGTGCAAGGCATGTCATGCTTGCAAGTCATTTCCGGCATCTATAATCTAATAAAACCAAAAAAAAAAGTAATCATTCAAATATTTACTGGATGCAGACCAGTACCACTGTATCTTTGAACAACACTCACATTTAATTGTGTTAACTGACTTTTGCTTTATTCTGTATTGTATATGTCATAATTAAACGCTGCTGCAATTGTCTTTGTAAAATGTATGAACAATTCAACATTAATTGACTTCCATTTTTTTCAGGAACGGGCTCCGGGGTGGGAACTTTTATATTGAACCTTTTGGCTGACGAGTACCCAGATGTGTACAGGTATTATTAGCTTACCTGAGTTAAAACTTATTAAGTTGTCTTGAGCATCAAGAGCACAGTCTGCTGTAGGCTGTTGTTTTCTATTTTTAAAAATTTTTTTCTCGAAAAATTCTGGCAAAAAAATCCGAGATTTTTGAAAATCGTACTTGTTCAAATGATTTGAATTAGGTGGACTGACATGTGCTCTATTCCAAAGATATTCTTTGTTTGTCTGCAGCAACAATTTATTCTACTATTTGTGATGATCTAAAATGGTTGCCATTGAATTTCGTATTCAGATAGATTGGGGATTTATTTTTACCCTTTGCATTATTCCCCTTTTTCAGTTATTTAGCTTTACCTCAGTGAATATGGCGAGGTATCTTTTAAATAGCATCACTAGAGTCGACATTATAGAGTTGATCTTTTGCCTTGACATTGGTAAATGATACACGTTTGTATTCTTGTTGTGGGTAAATTGATGATTTCATGAGAACTATTTTGAATTATGAAAAATGAGAGTTGACATTATAAGGCTTGATCTGTCACCTTCACATTGGTAAATAATACATGTTCACATGTTTATAGCTCTGACTTGGGGTACCTTGTTTATCGCCAGCTTCACTTTTAAAAACAGGTGAACAAATAAACGATATGAGTTGACATAACCTTGAACTTTGACCTTGAAAAATAATATCTTATTTGACGGTTAATTAAACTTTAATGATAACAATCAGATAAATCATCTTTTAACTCCATAATCAATAGAAAGAAATTGTAAAGATTTTCGATTTAATTTTTACCGGTTGCGGTAGCCAAATAGTAGGGCGCTCGCTTTATGATCAGGAGGTACAGGGTTCGAATCTCGTTCCCAGCGCCGCGTCAAACCTAAGACATTAACAAAGGTAATGACTGTTCCTTCGCCAAGCGCCCGGCACTAGTGAAAGTCACGGGTCTTCTGGACGAAACCTTAAAATCCGAGGCCCCGTGTCAGGGTAGGCGTTGGCACGATAAAGAACCCTCACTGCTCAATGGCTTTTGAGCCCTTCACCGAGATATGGTGACATCTCACATGAATGAACAATTTTTGCAAGGCACTTAAAACCGCAATAATCAATCATTTTTGCGATAGATCTTGCATGGTCATGAGTGACTTTTGCCTTGAAAATTGGGATATGACAAATGTTCATTTCCGTTTTAGATGTCTTACATGTATTATGCTTATAATCTTGTCGTTTTTAAATGACATTGGTAGGAAGGAATGCAGTAGTTGTAAGATTTTACTTTATCCCAAGAGGAAAATAATTTAATGATAATGGCTACGCAGAAGGTCAGAGCGTTTAGAGCCTGGTAGGATTGACAAAACAAAATGTGTTTTGGCACTCAAGCAAAAGTAAATTGAATCAAATCTTGTCAAAGCAACTTTTCAATGAATCCCGTTTTCAGGGTGGACTTTGACCATGCATTTGTAAATGATTTGCAAGGAGAATCTACCAACTTTCTATGTGTGTGACATGCAGATGATATAGGATTGAACACTGCAATCTGGCGCAATCATTTAAGCGGTGTCTCCTTTTTTTTTTTTTTTTTTTTTTTTTTTTTAAAGATTTGTTACTGCAGTTTATCCATCATCAGAAGATGACGTTGTGACGTCTCCGTACAACAGCGTATTAGCCATGCGCGAGTTGACTGATAAAGCAGACTGTGTGTTGCCTATAGAAAACCAGGCTCTTGTGGACATTGTTAATAAGATAAGCCAGTCTGTCCCTTCAGCCAAGCTTGGCAAGAGAGTGTTCACTGCCAGCGGGGTGAAGGCCGGAAGCGCCATTTCGGAGGGAGAAGGAGGGTTATCGAAGCCATCAGACGAAAGACCGTTTGACAGTATGAACAACATTGTAGCTAATTTGCTTCTAAACATGACCAGGTGGGATTTACTTGCTTTTTATTTTCAGTATAACAACTGACCTTTACATTTACAAAATTATGAAAATATTGTTTCAATATATGTATCCATGTACTTTTTATTTGTTTGATAGTTCTGCCAGATTTGAGGGATCTTTAAATGTGGACTTAAACGAGATCACGATGAATCTTGTTCCTTTCCCAAGATTACATTATTTAGTTTCCAGCCAGACACCACTATTTTCTCTGTCCGATGTTCACCTTCCTCCCAGAAGGTAAACAAAAAAAAAAAAAAATAAAAGTCCACTGCTGAATTAATTTCAGAATTTAAGTTGATGGTTGTGGCTAATTTCCGAGTTTTTTGTTAAGTTTTCAATAGAGTTAAGTTTGTTACACTGAAAGGTTCTTAATTTTATCGTTATTTATTCAGATTGGACCAAATGTTCTCGGATGCCTTTTCTCGAGACCATCAGCTAATTAAAGCGGATCCTAAACATAGCTTGTATCTGGCATGCGCATTAATGGTCCGCGGTAACGTGGAAATCTCCGACGTCAGGAGAAATATTGAAAGGTACTACATGTACCCAGCTCAAACCTCATTATACTGTTAACGGTTAGACATTTTATACTTGTAAGTGCTGTCTTTTGTCACTTCAGTTTTCATGAACCTCTTTATCTAGACGAATTCATTGGTATGCAAAGCTACTGTGAAAATGAATTCATGAATGGGAATAATGAGTTTTAACATAGATTTTTACTGATTTCAAGAAAAAAAAAATTGTAGGTTGAAGCCAAATTTGAAGTTTATCCACTGGAATAATGAAGGCTGGAAAACTGGTCTCTGTTCTGTACCCCCTGTAGGCCAGAACTACTCCCTCCTAACCCTGGCCAATAACACTTGTGTACACAATACCTTTGTGGATCTCAAAGACCGCTTCAACAGGCTGTATAAAAGAAAGGTATTTCATTCTCTGTTTTATTCCTGAGATTGGGTAATCATAATATTATATCTGTGCCTTTTAAGGGCGTTTGATGTGCATGCAAATATTCAAAGGACAAAATAAAAATATAATGTCAAATGCACGTGCATATACTATAGAAGAAAATTGTTTCATCGGTGTGCTCACGGTAGGTGCATTTATTTTAGCAGGATTCATGTTTGGCACTAATTTATAGCTCACTATCAAAATATGTCCAAGTAGAATAAAATTTTAAGCAAATCAAAAATTGTTATGTAATACTATATAAGCTACACGTACATCTTTTTCCTGGTATGCTACATGTACACATGCGACAGAGCTAGAATGGATTGCCGGTAAAAAGATTGTAAATTTCAGGCTCATGTTCATCATTATACGTCAGTAGAGGGCATGGAGGTGGCGGATTTCAGTGAGAGTCTGGAGTCCTTGACGTCACTGGTAGAGGACTACAAGGGCTTAGAACAACAAATGAACAACCCCCCTCCTGCAGAGCCTCGACTGGAAATCTTCAAGTGACGTAACGCGTTGGTTGCTAATGGAGATCATCCGGGTGTCTAGACGCCAGCAGTCCAAAGTCACAACAGAGGGAGGACACGATTTCGACAGCGGAAGCTGTATAATAGAGACTGTTGCAAAAGCCTTGAGAAACATACAATACTTTCAATCTGTTGAAAAATATGTTTTTCATAGCGACAGGACTGAGTGTATATGACATGATGGATGGCATTGTTTTATTAACTGTGGCATTTCTGACGAAAAGAAAAGATGGGGGGGGGGGGGCTATCGTACCAAAAGTGTTAATTCTTGAAATGCTAATAAATGTGTACGGCTAGAGTCTTTTTCATGTTATTAATTTTTTTAGGGTGGATTCTGCTTGGTTTATTGCTGGAAATTAGATAATGAGGTGTCCATGATGAAAATTGATCTGCACTGGAAAATTATATTTCGTAAAACTAATGAAATATCGCAAAAAATGCTCTCTGTGTCGATCGTAAGACCAAGGTAGTTCATCCAAGGTAAAACTTTCTTACTAGATTGTGTCAATCTCTTCAAACTTTACAAGGATAGCATCTTAACAAGCCAATTAAAACATTCGAAGCGAATTTGTCTAAAATAAGTCATTGATATAACATTGTTTTTACTGATCTAGCTCAGTGGGTCAAGATGAGAAACATTAAATAAATTCTGTAAACTGTGTAGATTATTAACGTTGTCCCAAGGGCAAGTGAGGGACCCAGGTATGAAATTTTATTGCATCAATCTAATGCTTTAAATTGCTATACCTCAATATTTAAATAATTTTCCGAGTGTAATTGGCGAACAAATTCAAAATCACACACAAATGGAGATAAATCCCCATTGTAAGCTTATCAGGAAGTATGTATTGTATTGGTGACCGATTTTATCCTTTTTGATTAATTTGTACAATATTACCATGAGGACAGGGAATTCCAGAATTCATGTGTCCCCGATTCTGTATCTTAGCTCAAGGTTAATGTATCATTGGAAATAATAAACATATATAATCAAGAAATATTTAACGAAGTATAGTTCTGCCAGATTTAAATTGAAATAAGCATACCTTAATCCAGAGATCTGCCCGTATTTATAGGATCTCCCATGAATTCTGATTTGATACGATTTTTAGCCGGGCTCATTGCTCGAAGAGCAATAGCCGGCTTATGTTACGGTGTTCAACCGGAAATGCTGCTTCCTCACCGCCAAATCAGATTTACGAGTAAGAATATAGTACGTATGCTCAACCACCTTTGAGGCAATACAAACACTAAATTAAACAAAATTAAGTTAACCAAGAAATTCTCTAAACAAAAAACAAAACAAAAAAAAAAAACATTAATGTTAATATACTAGTACTTTCTCCCCTCTTCCACAATTAATTATTTGTTTAAAATATGCGAAAGGTTTTCATCAGGTCTCCCTGTCTGCGTCACATTCTATATACCAGGCTAACACTAATACGGGGAGCACATGACCCGATGTACACCTTTATGAAAATTAAAACTCCCGCTGAGGACTCGTTTGTGCATGAATTTGACCTTGTTGCATCAATGTTTATTTACTTCTGTAAGTGATATAAGACCCCGAAACGATACATGTGATAAATTGTTTGCGCTGTTAAATTCAAACAGCATTTTTATTTAATTTTTAAAACATTTTTTATTTATACTATATGTCATAAATATATTTTTGTGTTACATATTCTTCCAGTATCTTGTTATTCATCTGATATTACAATGTATGTTTCATGTAAAACGGTCTTTGTTCACTTCTCTGTAAATGAGCCAGCTCTGTGTACTTCTGAGTACTTTGATTATCTAAGTTATCCTCGCCAACGGCTCGGGGATACAAAACACTCAACTTGTTGGATAAAAAACGCATACAGTTACAAACTTTTATGAGATTTACCTCCTTTTGGCTTTTCCCGCCGATGTCGGCTGTCTAATGCTGCATTACAACATAAACTGTGTTACGCCGCTAAAAGTAGTGTATATATATATATATATATATATATATATATATATATATATATATATATATATATATATATATATATATATATATATATATATATATATATATATATATAAATTATATATAATGAAGTAAAGAAAAAAAGAATACAAAGATATGTTGTTTCAATGATCTTATAAATTAAATTTTTGGAATTCTATATTTTTCATGTTTACAAATGCACATACATTTTTAGCTCACCTCAACGAAGTTGGGGGAGCTTATGTAATACCCTCGGCATCGGCGTCCCAGGTTAAAGTTCTTGGTGCAGTTTTCTTTTCAAGTACTTCTGTGCCCTATATTAATCAGAGATGAATGGGGGGATGCTTCTAGTATGTTTCATTGTACCAGTCAAGGTTTCAGATGCTGCAATTTCAGCTGAAGAATGACCAGATTAAAGTTTTTGGATCAGGTCTCATTTCCAAGTTACTATAAGACCTATATTGACCAAACTTGCATGGATGATACATCTAAGGATGCACACTACTGAACTTGCTTCGGATGCTGGATCTGACCTACATTTTCCGGATAAGTGACCAGGTTAAACATTTTAGAGCAGGTCTCATTTCCAAGTAACTATACGCCCTAGATTGACCAAACTTGCATGAATGATACATCTAAGGATGTAAACTACTGGACTTGCTTTGGATGCTGGATATGACTTACATTTTCCAGATGGGTGACCAGGTTAAAGTTTTTAGAGCAGGTCTCATTTCCAAGTAACTATAAGCCCTTTATTGACCAAACTTGCATGGATGATACATCTAAGGATGCACACTACTGAACTTGCTTCGGATGCTGGATCTGACCTACATTTTCTGGATGAGTGACCAGGTTAAAGTTTTTAGAGCAGGTCTCATTTCCAAGTAACTTTAAGCCCTATGTTGACCACACTTGCATGGATGATACATCTGAAGATGCACACTGCTGGACTTGCTTTGGATGCTGTATCTGACCGACATTTTCCAGATGAGTGACCAGGTTAAAGTAAACCAATCTTGCATGGATGATGTATCACAGGATGAACACTCTCAAACTTGCTTCAGATGCTGGATATGACTTACATTTTCTGGACGAGTGACTAGTTTAAAGTTTTTAGGTTATTCCATTCCCAAGTAACTGCAAGCTCTATCGGACCAAAATTGCATAAATGTTACATCTAGGGATGCACACTACTAGATTAGCTCTGTAATCTCTGATTACCTATGTTTTAATATATGACAAGGTGTCGGAATAAATGTATTGAATAAGAGAATATTATCTACTGTACAAGTAATAGCTTTGACAAAAAGCTTGCCTGACTAAAAGCAATCAATATCTACAGAACGTATAAGCATGATAATTATAAATGTTTCCGTCCAATTTTTTAAGATGGAATCCAGGAAAAGAAAAAAAACAACTTGCCCAAATCTGAAAATCCACAGACACCTGGCGTTACTTTTTTTTTTTTAATAAAAAAATATACCCCTACCTATATAATCAATTGATTATATAGGTAGGGGGTATATTTTTTTATTAAAAGAAAAATAAGTAACGTCAGGTGTCTGTGAATGTACAGTACATGCAATGACGTGGATAACATTTAAGTTAATATGACAAGATATTGAAGATTCCTTAAATGGTTTTTAATTAAAGTGAAGTAAGAAAAACAAATTATAATATAATTGATTTATGTTGGGAAGATATGGCTGTGTAAAGGTTACGTGAATTAGTTTCAACTGCATAGAAGATCATGAATGCCGAAAGACAGCTGAAAGTATGATAACTACATGTACTTATAATGCCAATTGTAATACAAATGTTATTGAAAGAAATGAATATCCTGAAGAAGTCTAAATTGTAGCATGTACTTTTAATTTCTGATTACAAATAATTTTTACTCCCAGAATGTTGAAGACAATAATGTTTTAAAAATCTTATTATAAGAACTAATGCCATATATGGGTGTGCATGGCAAAGTTAAATGAAGAGGTAATCGCATTGTTGTGTATTAGAAGCGTGTCAAAATGTGTCACACCAGAAAAATTAACCAAATGTTGACAAAAGATTATCATGATAAAGAAAACTGCATACAATTTCCCTTATTGTGGAAGTGGATGTCGATTTTGAAAAATGACATCATCTAAATATATACCTGAAGACTGAATATCCATTTATTGTCTTGGAATGAAAAACTTTTAATCTAAAGAATGCTTTATCTTTAGAGAAATGTATACGGAAATTATTTACAAGAAATTATTGTTATGAAAGACATGCAGAATGTGTTTTCAATGCATCAACCACTGCATGAATGACGAGAGGGTATCAGAATTACCATGTATATATGGCCAGTTCTTCCACTTGAGAAATTTTTGTCTGTTACATGTTAATTATTTCAAATCTTTATAAAGGATATGATGTACTTCTTCTATCTTTGTTTCCAACATCACTTGTAGAATTGCGTTTTGTATATGAAAGTAATTGGACTAGTCTACTTAAGTTATAACCGGGAAATAAATAAGAAGGAAAACTTAGCAAATCCATTGCTTTAGTATTACCTGCCCATATACGATGTGTTTTATTTCTCCAAAAAATGAGATAAATAAAAAAAATTTAAACTCGAAAACTAGGTTAGAAGAAATCACACCCATTCAATAGAACATTCCTAGGAAAAGGCGCGAAGATTTACTCGTAACATTTGGCGCCAATGATTGTGTCAACCCTTTCCTAGAAGACAAAGGTGTATGAATCATGAAACTGAACTTCTTAAAAGTGCATTCAGAATAATGGTAGCATTCATTAGTGGATGTGATTTTGACTTCGGGGACTCGAAGTGAATAGTTTTCAATGATGATATTAGATCATATAGGGTGAGTGTCTTGGACGTTTTTAGGGTCAGATGAGGTAGGATGAGTATGGGTGAATTAAAAAAAAAAAGACCACCAACCTGAATTTTTTTGGCAAAATTCAACTACTTGTAACATATTTTACACTTATATCATCATATTGCAAATGCATTCTAGTTTAAAATCCTGAAGTGGCAATAGAATAGGCAATTGGATTAAAAAGTTTCATAATTTTCATTAGTAAAATTTCTTTTGAAAAAAGAAAATATCATTACACCTTAAAAGACTTTCTAAAATACATAATCACAAGAAATTATAGTTTTTTATGCTTCAAAATAGTAACAGGGGTATAAATGATTAAATCTAGACCTTGAATGAGTATCTTCTCTTGTACATATGACAAAAAATTGGCTTTTTGATTGTTATTTTACATTATTTTTTCAATTCTCGTTTGTAAAGTTTTAAAATGAAAAAAATATGAAGCAATAAAATTCCCCAAAATTCACTTTTTTGTCCGTTTATGTCAATTCTTTAAATCTAAGCCAAAAAAGAATTGTTATATACGAGTTCTCTTACAAAAAATACTAGATTTTGAAGTGACCCTATGTTACATTATTGTGTTGCACTCCTGACATCTGATATGTATTTTATCTAACATTGTTTTAAAAATAATAACACACAATAACCCATTCTTACTTTGTAAATCAATTTGTCGTGTTGATATTTTTCATCGTTTACAGCAAGTTTTTCATATTTTGAAAACCTTAAAACATGATTATTTGCAAAGTGTAATATATATAAATTGTATTTAAAATATATGTGAAATGATGAAAACTATTCCCTGAATTGACTGTAAAATTTCTGTAATTTGTTGATAGACATAGTGTTTTGAACATCAAATAGTATCAAGCATTTTTTTCAACTTATTTTTTAGTAAAGATGGTTAAAAAGCATCGGTAATTATGAAGCAGTTTTGTTGCACTCCTGACTGCAGTAAAGTTTAAAATTAAAACCATAGAACACAAAAAATCATAAAGTGTTGGCAACATCAAGTGGTAATGAAATTGTGCAATACTTATACTCTAATACTTAATAATTAAAACAGATGAAAGTATTTAAAATTCGCATTTTATCTGGAATTATACCCTATTTTATGCCAAAACACTAGCTTAAATGTATATTTAGAAGATAAAATATATTTTAAAGCATATTTTCCTTTAGAAGACAAACAGAGTAACCCACCAGAAAAATTCTACTCATCATTTTTTCTTTATTTTTATTCTTAGTGGATGATTTATAATTCTAACATATTTGCTGCACTCCTGACCAAATGCATTGGGGCCTTTAAAGTAGAATTGTGAAGTGAAAATTACATAAGAACTTGTTCTGTTGTTTCAGTGAAGTTGAGGAGGAATTACTTGAATTTTATGACAATGTTTTAGTGTGTTTATTTTTAACGTTCATTAAAAAAATCACAAAAAAGATAAAAACACATCTGAATTGATAAAATTGAAAAAGAAAGGATTTTAATAATAAAACTGTCAATAATTTAGCATTAAATTATACAAAAAGATCATTATTAATTAATGAATACTTCTAAGCATGAATAGAAGTCTTTTCGTCACACAACTTGAATCTTTAAAAAAATGTGTTGCACCCCTGACCATAGAAATATGGATCTGAAGCACAGACAGATCCTGTAATTAATAAATGTATTTGGTAAAAATGTTCTTTGTGTCTTTATTTTCCAAAATAAAAATCAGAAAATCATATAATGATAATAGTTTTTTTATGCTTGGGAGCAAAACATCAAATGTTGCACTCCTGACATTTTGGGGTATGCACATATACTTGACTCTCATTAATGCTGCTTGTGATTTATATAACATTTTTAAGTTTTAAAATGTATATCAGTTATTATTTTACACTTCCAAAATTCTTTTTTGTCTTAATTTTCTATCAGAATTTTACAATTGATGTTTTTTTTTTTGGCAACACTACATTTTTTCTGTTGCACTCCTGACATGGTATAACATTTTTTTAAACATCAGCCATGACCACAACTTGATTAAACAAAAGTTATAACAGTCCACATTTAAAGCTCAATACTTTGAATATTATCAGGAAAGTCTTTATTTTCAACATGAAGCATTATTTTTTATTTTACAGATCTCCAAAAAATATTAAAATTTCAAAATGTCACAAAAAGGTATTGCACTCCTGACAATTTTAGCATCATTTTTGGGCATAACATTTTTGTTAATTGATATATCAACGAGATATTTGGCAGGTATTTAGACACTATCTAAAGACATATGCTGAGACATAGAAATCTATTATCATTGCCTGTATTTTTAGTGTGGGTTGATAAATATGCATTTGGTCATTTTTTTTTAATTCACCCGTATGAAGGTTGTTTGTTTTCCAAATGATTGTAGAATTGCTTTCCCTCCTACGAATTATATGTTTCAAATGAGGAAAGATGCCACCCCAATATGATATGTTGATACAAAATATGTATTGTAAATCGAATTTTATTTTTGTGCAAAAAATAATATAATATTTTTCTTTAACTCATGAATATTTCCATTTCTTTTATTGAGTTTTTTATGCAGAACGTTTCATGAGTAATAAAAATTAATAGATGCGGATGAATCGCGAATGATTTGTTGCGAACAAGTCAAACAGTATCATTTAAAAAAAATAAGGAATTAAAGATTTTAAATGAGAAAATTCATTTCAATAGCTTTGATTTCTTTCACTGTTTTTCGTTACCAATTTCTGAAAAGTGAAATGGTTTGGAAGTGAGTTTGTCCCACAGAACGCTTCTAAAATGCCGTGACGTCATCACGTACAGGAAAAAATTCAACGCATAATTCAGCTGCTCCAACAATTGAGAAATTTCTTTGAAGAGATTAAAGCCAGCGTCGTTACTGGCAAATGCGCTGATCTTGAGCTCGTATGCGGCATTATGAAGAACTGTGATTGGTAGCACCAATATGATATAGGCAAGAACGATCCCAATCAACATAGCCGTGACGCGGCGATCATCCTTACTCCTCTGTGCAGTTGAACTCTGAGGCTTCATGATTTTTCTTCTCTGGTTGTGGCGAACCAGTTTAGCAATAATAAGCGGGGTCAGAGTCAACAAAATTATCATAGGAACAATAGAATACAAGCTCGACGCTGTCCTAAGCATGGCGCCAAATCTTTGTCTAGCAGCGGGATCCTTTGCGTCATACACATCTGGTTGGCATATTCCTTTAACGATCTCCGAGGCATAGCTATATGCACCCGTGAAGGCAAAAATGATAGCGTAAATAGCCAGAATACCGGCAAGCAGTGTACGTTTTGTGATATAAAACTTTGCTTTTAAGGGAAACCACACCGCTATAAAACGCTCAAAACAAAGACCAACGACAAACCATGATGACGTCATCTTGGATGCCCTTCGAATGATGAAATACAGTTTGCAGGTTGAGTTATGCAACGCTCTTATGTCCTGACCAATCAAATCAATAACAAAGTCCTTGTTTAATGGCTGGGTCAAAAGCAGAACACTGTCTGAGACAGCCAGACAAATCAGCAAGTATGAGGAGGGGACGGTGGAAAATTGTCTGGATTTCATTACGATAATGGTTAGGATATTTCCAGTGATGCCTATGGTAACGGTTGCTGGGAGAAAAACGTAATTGACGTAATCTATCACACTTGGTCCCGACTCCTGTGATCCGGAAGTGGAAACCGACAGGTTTGTGGAAATACTTGTATTTGATATGTCGTTACTCGCACTTTGTGTTATATTGTTATCAGTCATGACTGAAAATGAATAACAAAAAACCCTTCAGTAATATTCCATTTTTAGCTCACCTGAGCCAAAGCTCAAGTGAGCTCTTCAGATTAAAATTTGTCCGTTGTCTACCGTTGTTGTTGTCGTCGTAAACTTTTCACATTTTCATCTTTTTCAGAACCACTAGGCCAATTTCAATCAACCTTAGCACAGAGTATCATCGGGTAAAGAGGATTCAAGTTTCTTCAAATGAAGGGCCACACCCTCTTCCAGGGGGAGATAATTAAGAAGTAATGAAAATTGGGTGGGTTATTCTTCTTCTCAAGAACCACTGGGTCAGAAAAGATGAAACTGTGAAAGCTTCCTGACATAATGAAGATTCAAGTTTGTTCAAATCATGACCCCGGGGTAGGATTGAGCCACTATGAGAGATCAAAGTTTTACATAGGAGTACATAAGAAAAATCTTTTAAAGTCTCAGGGATTTATCAGCCTATTTTGGGAAACGCCATTTTTTGAGAATTGGGAAAAAATTATCGGCAATTTGAGGAAATTGGGAAAAATTAAAAATCTTGCTTACATCATGTTTCAGATGTAATTCATTTAACATTTTAGCATGAACTCTAATTTGGGCAACTAAACAGACAATTAAATATGATCCAACTTCATCATACAAGATAACTTATAAATAATAGACTAACACAACTAAACTTGACTCCAATGAGTATAAAGTATCTATACAAATATTGGTAGTACATGTGTGTATGAAATTCCAATTTAGGTCATTAGAATCTGTCTCTGGAGATTATAAACCTCCTGCAAAATATTATACTAATTAAGTACACATTTTCTCAAAGTCCCCTTTTTAAATATGTAAAAATACATTGAAAATATGTTTTCTATCTGAAAAATGCCTACAGTTCTTAACATTCACTCATAGATCAATTGAGTATGCGGAAATTACTTAATAAATCTATATTATTACGCAATATCACCATTTTCAGAAAACAGAGGAAATTCGGATTAAAAGTCGCGATGTTTAAGGAGTTTTTTAAACATGTTTTATGCCTGTACCTTTGCTAAATTAGTTAAACAGAAAAATTACAGGCAATCTGACAATTTTACTTGGCGTTTTTCCAAGATAATTAAATATAAAAGCATTGTTCAACAATTGGGAAAAAATACTGCCAAATTGGGAAAAATTTAACTCATTTTCAATTGGGAATGGGGCCGAATTTCGGCCCCTGAGAAGATACTGATAAATCCATGAGTCTTCTTCATTCAAAACACAGTCCGTCACGATAGCTCAGTCGGCAGAGCGTTCGCTCCGTGATTTGAAGGTCGTGTGTTCGAATCACGGCCGTGACTGACCTAAGTCGATAAAAAATAGGTAACAACTGTTCCTTCACCAAGCGCTCGACACTTCTATACTTATAAATTAATAAATTTTGCAAATAAACTCCGAAATGGGTGCACCAGGGTTCTTACTAACTCCTCTATAAATACACTAGATACGAGAAGATGTCCGTAAACTATATTTAGATTTCACTCGCATAGTAAGTATCGCACATTAAATTAAAAGTCTACTTTCAATTTCTATAAACAGCCATGAAATAGCAAAAACGTGAATACGGTGGTGTTTCCGGTTGGCGGATCTAAGTTAGGGGTAATTTTTAATGAAACTGACAACAAGCAATCGTTTATTTATTTCATAAAATATCATTACTGAATTATTCAATCAATACTTGATTAAATTATATAAAAGAAATAAGTTGTGATAACCGATTAAAAAGGGAAATGTGCAAATTATTTTCGTCATTCACCGATCTTAATATTGACGGAAGCTTCTAGAACATCATATAGCATCGAGCCCGATGTTAAAAAGAAAAACGGGGTGATTATAGCTGATAAACATAAAAAAAAACTCTTGTGTGAATGGTCATTGGAATAATGTAAATGATTGATAACACTATAAGTTGTGAGTTGTGAATATATTTATATATCGAAAGACTATTAAATATATGTAGTAAGTTTTCCTAATAAATTTATCGGTAAAATTTGTATAAATTCCTCAGTGCTTCGTTTGTATATATTCCTCATTACTTCGTACTTCGTAATAAACTTGCTTACATGAAAAGAGAAAATTAATGAATAAGGTATTGTTCAAATACAATTAAAGCTTAAAAATTTCTGCTTCAATCAATACATTTCATTTTTTTTTCCTCCTGAATACAGTCTTATGTATCAAATACTCGGCCTATTCATAGGGCGTTAAAAGCTAATTTTTACACAGGTACTTGGGTCTTGGTTTATAAATATGTATGTACCTTATTGGTATGTAAAAAGTAAAGTAATTTTTTTTACATATCAATAAGGTACATACATATTTATAAACCAAGACCCAAGTAACTTTGACCCCCCCCCCCCCCCCGAAAAAAAAAACCCAGTAAAATGTGCATATTCGCTGCTTTATCCTTGACGGAAATGAAATAAGAGCATCTGAAGTACAATATCCATAAAATAGTATAGCAGGTTTCACAATAAAAGTCACTTAATGAAATTGTCACTTTTCAAGTTTTTACAAAAGGGGTGGGGGGGGGGGGGAGACGTAAATTGTACATCTACTTCATGAGGGATTTTGAACAAAGTATTTCTTCCTGTTATAAGCTTGTGGGCTGTCAGTAGAAACTACAGTATATTTTCTGTCGGTAGTGGTATAAATTCAATTCCCCGCGCTTGCGCGGGATTTCATCTAGTTGAAGTAAAAGTTGCGGGTCTTTCGGATGATCGAGACCTTAAAAATCGAGGCCCCGTGTCACGGTAGGCGTTGGCACGATAAAGAACCCTCACTGCCGAGTAAAGGTCTATATTTGAAGCCGTTCACCGGTATATGGTAACGTCTCTAAATGAGTGAAAAATTCTCGAACGGGGCTTAAAACAACATTCAATCAATCAATTAATCATTCAGAAGAGCAAAGCCATGATTGGTCATATATATACGGAAGCATCTTCAGATTCCAGTTTGTTCAAATCATGACACCTGAGGGTAGGGTGGGGGCTAAGGGTAGGACGGGGTCATAATATGTTACCTTAATTTTACACAGGAATATATTAGGGAAAAATGCTAATAAAGTAGGCCATAGTTACTCAAGTGACCCATGTGGCCCATTGGCCTCTTGTTATTAATTCTCTTAGTGGATTTTTTTTCCTCTACAACTTTGTTATGCAATGCGCATACGTACGATGCTATCGACTGATAACAACTCTTTATACTTGTGGATAAGACCTAAGCATCACATGGGTATAAATCTCGGAACAAAAACAGATTTAAAAATAAATTTTAGATATTAATTCAGCTATAGAAAAGGTAGCCTTTCAACAACACTTGTTAAAGTGTTTTCCTATATGTAAACGTCATATTTTAATAAGAGCTATTACTTTTGGTCTCCCGTCATAGTATTTTATGAATGCACGTTTGACTCAGTACTCTAAGAGAAAGAGGGATGTGAAAAACCAGAGATGATAAAGATTTCCCCTTGAGGTCGGGGGTTAAATTCTTTAGGGGGAGGAGGTACATCTATTTACAACGTTTGTAAAGATATCATATAGACTATCGATAATGTTAGTCCAATATTTATTTAGCACTGGAATCACTAAAAATCACTAAAAATGGTGTGTAACTATATGCTAAAATTATTAGCAAGAAGCCTATGGGCCAAAACACGCAGCTTAGAAACTACGGCCCTTCTGTTCTTCAACAGCAGGTTTTTTCCCTATCTGTTCCAATGTAAAATTTTGATCACATATCGTGGCCCGACCCAACCCCTAGGGACCATGATTTGAACAAACTTGAATCTACACAACATGAGGATGCTTCCATATAAATATCACCAATCTTGACTTTGCTGTTATTGTGAAGAAGATTTTTAAAGATTTTTCTTATCTATTCCTATGTAACACTTTGATCAAACATTGTCATCGGGGGTCATAAGTAGGTCAAACTTCAAAATCACGAGGCCAAAATCATAGTATATTCGAAAAGGTCAAATACATGTTATAATATGTGGACAGACGAATGACATTTAATGTCCCAAAGCTTTTGTGCTCTCCCGTTGCTCCCCTTTTCTTTCCCACAAAGTATAGCACGTAAGACTTTACAACATTGACAATCAATGAAATATTATAGTTTCTTACAAAATTAAGCTAAGGATTGGTTGATAGATTGTGATTTATCATCATTTAAAATTGAAATTAGCCAAATCGGTCATTAACGTACGGAGCTAGATATTTCTCCCTTTTTTTTGTTTTATCGTTCACCTTAATCAATAGAACCGACCGAAAGGACATTTTCATTGTTAAGGATCAAGGATTAGAACATAATAAAAACACTATAATACCGGAAATAACATCAATGTTCTTGTCTTCTTCTTCGGAGTAAATTATCGCTTGATCTACAATTAATTCTCTACTTGATAAAATTCGTTGCCTGTCATGTATAAGTGTAATAAATTTACTATTTTCTCTTCACTAATTTTATTTGAAAAATATCCGGTTCATCGTTGGCTCTAAGGAAATCGTACATGGTTAAATTTAATGTAGGGAGAGAAAATAATTAAGATTATCCAAGAAAGGATGATAGGGATGGATAAACATTACCATTTTTTAGACTTTGAAACCTCGTGGAAAAAAAGGGCCCCGTATAAAAATATAGGAAAATGCATTAAATATCTGAGAGAGAACGTGTTTTTTTTCCTTCTCTTAATAATGAATTGTTTATGGCTATAAAACCATAATGTTTACTTTTCATGTAGACATATTGGGTAATTCGTTACCACCCAGCCCCCTAAGTTCTTTAAAGCATACACGTCACAATAACATTTTCCCTTTTAAAACGTTCGTATTTAATTCCTTTTTAAAGGGGTCAGGGTATAGTTGCATTGACGTTTTGTTTACAATTTTAAATTTCTATTCAAGGTCCCTCTCGATGCCGATTTCAGGGGGCTATAAAAGGCTAATTATATAAAAGGGTGTGATTTGTCCTTCGATCTTTTACGTTTGATGCAGCACTAATCATTTTTGCTTATGATTGACATACATGAAAATGTTAAAAACATATTTGGAGTCTCCATAGAATTAATAAAGGATATGAATTCGTATGAAAAATTGTCACAATGCACCTTCTTCTTCTTTTTTTAATCCTAAAAAAATTAAATTTGTCAGGGAAAAGTTTTTGAAAAAGTTGCAGATATGTAATAGGTTTCGTGCATGTAATTCCCTCGATAAAGTTAAATCTATATTCAAAAATTGCCTTTCAAATTGCCAGACTCCGGTTATACTGCAAATATGTGAAATAACCTATACCTCCTGGACGGAATTTTTCCTAAAGGTTCCTTATCAAGTACCAGTAATTTTAATGTTGACTAAACGTAGCTGCAGACTTTTTAAAATTTCTTTTATAATTACTTTTTGGAATGATTTTTAAGCTACATGTAAGTTGTCAAATTTTTTTCCGAACCCCCCCCCCTTTTCAAAATCGATACTACGTGCCTGACAAAAAGCCATGTCTCAGTTTTTAAATAGAAATGTGAACTATTAAAACACCAGACCTTGTATATGGTATTGTCTTTTATTAATTTTCAATCTAAAGCTGAAAATGATTACATGACAAATCGTTTTCAACTTAAGATTGAAAATTAATAAAAGACAGTATGTTTTTGGAGAATATGGTAAAGGAAACCCCTAACATGGAAATACAGACAATTTTCTATATGTAGAAGTTTGGATTTTTGGTCCAAAATTTTTATTTTTGTTTTGTTTTTCTACTTTATATTCAAAAATATAAAAATTTGAAATTGATATTTATAATAATTGAATTCTTAATGATTGTTGGAAGCTTTTTCAAGAAAAAAGAAAATATACTGACCTGGTAACCGCCAGAATGAATGAAACAGACGATAGACTCAAACCGCAAAACAGAGAGGAGACGACGTCATCCTCCATTCTCGGGTATATACAGTGTATATATATGGACACTCATTACTAATAAAACTGTTATAAACCATCATAATTGACACTCTATATCCTACCTCCGACGGAAAGGAGAATATTTATGTTCGATACTAATTACAACTGCTATCCTTACTGTTCAAAGTAGAAAAAATGTAAATGATTATCAAAATGATAATAATGATAATAAATTTTTTAAAAAATTGAAAATCAGCAAATTTCACATGCTCAAGAGTTCTTTAAAGAATTCTTTCAAGAACTCTTTAAAGAAGAAATGATGAACACATGTTTGAAGAGTGTTAGAACACTGATCTCCCATCTAAAAATTTACCTTCCAGTCGAACAATATGCATAAGGATTTTTCTCATTTCCAGGTCAGTTATCATGCTCGTACACAGCAAATATTACAAATACACACTTATTTCTTAAATAAACAAGATGTGTTTGTGTAACACTGATGCCCCCATTTGGCAACTTATAGCAAAGGTTAAACTTTCTCAAATGCAAATCAAATACATGTATGTTGGTAACCAAAGTAAGGTCTTGTTTTGAGGAATATACCTGTGAAATATGAAAACCCTAGCGGCAACCATTGAATAGATATGGAAAAGGTTAAAGTTCAAACATCAAGATTAAGGTCAAATAGTCAAAATTAATGGTGCCCAAGGAAAGGCCTTCTCACAAGGAATACAATATGAAATCCGTAACACCAATTTTTCAAAAGTTATGGCCAAGGTTAAAGTTTTTCAAAAGTAGGCCAAACTCCAAGGTCAATGGATTACAATTGTTGGTATCCAAATGAAGGTCTTGCCACAAGGAATAGACATTTTAATATGAAAGCCCTAGCAACAACTGTTCAAAAGTTATATCGAAGGTTACAAGTTTTCCAAAAGTAGGTCAAACTCTAAGGTCAATGGGTCAAAGTTGATTGTATCCAAAGGAAGGTATTGTCACAGGGATTACATATGTGAAGTACGAGAGCCCTAGCACAAACCGTTCAAAAGTTATGGACAAGGTTAAAGTTTTCCAAAAGTAGGACAAACTCCAAGGTCAAGTTCAAAGGGTCAAAGTTGATAGTATCCAAAGAAAGGTATTGTCACAAGGATTACATATGTGAAGTATGAAAGCCCTACCACCAACTGTTCAAAAGTTATGGCCAAGGTTAAAGTTTTTCAAAAGTAGGTCAAACTCCAAGGTCAGAGTCAAAGAGTCAAAGTTGTTGGTATCAAAAGGAAGGTATTGTCACAAAAATCACACCTGTGAAGTATGGAAGCCCTAGCACTAACTGTTCAAAAGTTATGGCCAATGTTAAAGTTTTTCAAAAGTAGGTCAAACTCCAAGGTCAAGGTCAAAGGGTCAAAGTTGTTGGAATCCAAAGTAAGGTCTTATCACAAGAATTACACATGTGAAAAAATGAAAGCCCTAGCTTTCACCGTTCAAAAGTTATGGCCAAGGTTAAAGTTCGATAAATTTTGCAAAACTGGGTCAAACTCCAAGGTCGAAAGGTCAATTATGATGGTACCCAAAGAAAGGTCTTCTCACAAGGAATACACTTGTAAAATATGAAAGCCATAGCTCCAACCAATCAAAATTTATGGGCAATCCTAAAGTTTTTTCGGACAGACAAACAGACAGACAGATGGACGGACAGGGCAAAAACTATGTCCCCCCGAATCTTCGATACGGGGCATAATTAATAATAATAAATTAGTTAAGTTACCTTATTGTACGTACATGTATAAAATACAGTGTATGTACAAACGAGCAAGATTATTACATGGTGATCTTGGTTATTTAGAGATCAATATATTAACATTGAAAATAAAACAGACAGTGTATATAAGCACAGAGAAGTCACGACTAGATACTTTAAAAGTTTTTTAATCGTTTTATTGTCTTCCCGGCAAATATTCCATTTAAGAAATAAAATATATATTATGACAACTTAAATTTACAAATCAACATAAAAAATATTGAATTTTTATACATAGACAATAAGATAAAATTATTCTATGAATTTCATCAGAATATTTACTGTTTTCTAAAGAGCTAGGTTCACTTTATCCATAAAATGGCCCTGTCTATATACTTAACTGACCAAGTCCCAGTGTCCCATTTCAACCATCAATATAAAGTAGAGACTTAGAACTTTCATTTCCTATTTTAAAAAGTTTCCTCTGAGTATCCAGGTATGAAAAACAGGAATTGTGAAATTGAAATGTTCTTGAATTTTGAAGAAAATAAATGTATTTTTTAGGTACTTTCAGCAAATAATTCAAATATGGGCCCACCCCTCGATCCAAAAAATAAAACATGGATTACAATATTCTGAAATAGTTCTTTCATTATATAATTGAATATTTTGGATCATTGGAACATTTTGGTTGGGGTCTATGCAAAATATTAAAAACTGCGTAATTTTTGGGGGGCCATTCTTAAAGAAATTGTCAGGATTTGAGGATAATGAAGCAATTCATGTCGACATAATACATGGACTAGCGAGAAAATGACTTTTAAGAAATTCTTAGAGCCATAAAAGGCCCTAAGTGAACTTCGTTCTTTCAAAGTTGAACTTTTTATTTCAACAATTCAAATTAAAATTAATTATCATTGATATTATATATATATATATATATATATATATATATATATATATATATATATATATATATATATATATATATATATATATATATATAATATTATTATATTTTTCCTCGATTTTTTCTAGGAATTGTGTTGAAGTTTGGCTTGTTTTATAAGATCGGTCTAAGACACGGGTAGGAAATGATATTTTTTTGGTTTGTTTGTTTATTTTTTTATGTTTTTTTTTTTTGTTTTGTTTTGTTTTTTTGTTTTTTTTTTTTAGTTTGTATTTGACACAATGAGAGAAAGCTAAAAACGTAGCTATATGAAGATAAAGTGTGAAATGAAGCAATGAAAGTGCTCGATGTAATGCCAGATAGATTTTTTTTTTTGCAAGTGAATGCAAATACATGTAACACAGTGACATTTAAGTCCGGGCACGACAAAGTCCGGACTTTCAACTATCCTTTCTGTGAAACATAATTTAAATATTTTCCTTGATTTTGTTGGGATTCTTTATTATGATCACAAAAACTGATCAAAGTGATCTGATTGTCTGATGTTTTGTAATGAGATTGGATATAAAGTGATATGATAGTCTGGTGTTTTGTTTAGTTATTGGGAGTTAAGGAGGGAAGTATTTATGCCCTGTGTATGCAAATTTGTCTTTATTCCCCATAAATTAATCTGGAATTAACAAGGAGTTTGAACCTCAAATAAACAAATACTCCAAGTAAATACAATGCGTACTTGTAAAAGTTTCTAGAAAGAAAAACAACTTTTAAGTGAGAATATCTACTTCGACAGTTTTGACATAAGGGTGGTACTCTTTGACTTTGACCTCTGAAAATTAAAAGAATTGCAGGTGATTACTTCCCACAGAACGCTTCTAAAACGCCGTGACGTCATCACATACAGGAAAAAATTCAACGCGTAATTCAGTTGCTCCAACAATTGGGAAATTTCTTTGAAGAGATCAAAACCAGCGTTGTCACTAGCAAATGCGCTGATCTTGAGTTCGTATGCGGCGTTATGAAGAACTGTAATTGGTAGCACTAGTATGATATAGGCAAAAACGATACCAATTAGCATAGCTGTAACGCGACCGTCATCTTTATTATTGTTTGCAGCGGATCCGGTCATCCTTTGTCTTCTCTGATTGTGGTGAATCAGCTTACCGATAATGAGTGGTGTTAGGGTTACCAATATAATCAAGGGGGCAACGGAATACAAGACCGTTCCTGCCCTTAACATGGCGCCAAATCTTTCTCTAGCAAACGAATCCTCCCGATCGTAAACGTCCGGTTGACATCTTCCCTTCACCACGTCTGTTGCGTAACTAAACGCGCCTGTGAAGGCAAAAGTGATAGCGTAAACAGCCAGAATCCCAACAACCAGTGTACGTTTTGTCATATAAAACTTCGCTTTTAACGGAAACCACACAGCAATAAAACGTTCGACGCAAAGACCGACGACAAACCACGATGACGTTACTTTCGAAGTCCTTCTTATGACGAAGTACAGCTTGCAAATTGCGCTATGCCACGCTCTGACGTCTTGACCAATCACATCCATAACAAATGATTTATTTAACGGTTGGATCAAAAGCAGAACACTGTCTGAGACAGCCAGGCAAATCAGCAAGTATGAGGAGGGAGCGGCAGAAAATTGTCTGGACTTCATTACGATAATGGTCAGGATATTCCCCGTGATTCCTATGGTAACAGTTGCTGGGAGGAAAACGTAATTGATGTAATCAATCACACTTTGTCCCGTTTCCTGTGATCCGAAAGTGGAAAAAGATAGGTTTGTGGTAATGGTCGTAGTATCGTTACCATGGTTACGTTGTGTTACATTTAAATCTGACATGGCTGAAAATAAGTAAAAGATCTTAAACATTTTATTCATAAATGATAAATATTATAATAATTTTTTATGATCTTTCTTGTAATAAAAACATAAATTATATGAATTAATAATTATATCTGACATATACATGTATATACTAGTATAATACAAATATAGGCCTTTCATGAGGTTAATCCACATAAATATACTGAAAGGAAAAAGAAACGCAGGGTAACATATAATATGCGAATTTTTTTTTACTGCTTAATCGAAAATTATGTAAATTGGTCAGAGGGATATCTTGGTTAGGCCAACATTTTTTTATATCCTGTTTTACGGGAGCGCCGACCCTAATTTGGGCTAAAATGAAATAAAAATAAAAGTCCCTAATTCACGTTTTATTTTTATTTCTCCCGCCGATAGTTCATTTGTAGTCACTGAAAAAATAAAAGAGATATAAATAAACTTTTCACAAGCCTTTCAAAATGCGATTTGTCATTGGCTGAGGTTAATATATTCATCCAATCACAGTATTCGAAGTGTGAATAGTCACTGCACAGCATAGCGCCAAAATGTCAGAATCGGAGGATTTCATTTATTTTTAAGTAGTCATTTTAAAAAGTGACATGTCAATGTCATATATTAGAAAAATAATAAAATTTCAGATTAACTTTTAATGAAGATTGAATGAAACAGACGAAACAGTAATCTTGATCAAATGTCATGCAGAGGGCCACGTGGAAATTAAGGTTCTGTTAACCATGTTAACCGCTTGTTTTGAAAAGTTTTGAGTACGTATTATCTTTGACAGTTACGTCTTGAAGATTTTTTTAAACTTAATTTTAAGACAATAATGTTTTCTTTTACAATTAACGACAGAACAGAACACTGTAGAACTGGGGCCCGTTTCACAAAGCTAACTTAGGACTAAGTTATATCTTAGGAAAGAACTTTTTCCTAAGTTCATTACTTATCCTTTTCACTAACCACGTCTTATCTTAGGATATTCCTAAGTTGTGTCGTAACTTTAAGACAAGTAAATCAATGACTTAGGAAGAAACTAAATATGACGGCTGTAGGTACATGTACAAGGATTCTTACAGAAAGATACTGTGTGTGTTCAGGCAGAGAAAAAATCCAAAGGATTACTATTATATGAATGATTGTGATCCCTTCAGGTTATAACTGCTTTACTTTGTATGTAATACCTAAGAAAGGGATTTTAAGAATTGTCAGAGATGTGTCTGTATCATTAGTCAAAATTAATCCAAGGTATATAAAAATGTCCATTGGTGAAGTTGAAACTACAAATACATTGTACTTATGGAATGTTTCATTTCTCTCGAATTCGTGGATTTCCCAATGTTACTATAAAATAGTTACACATGTTGGATTAATTCCCTATCATTTAAATAGCACGATTTTTGTTAACAAAAAAATTCCACGCTATATACACTATTGTCTGTGTTACAAAACTTTGCATATAATTTGAACCATTATTATATATTTTCAAATCTGATAATATTACTAGTATTTGAATCGATATTTAGTATTTGAAAGATTATAGTTTGATAAGGGAACAAATTTGTTCTCTTCAGCTCCTGATATAGCTGTTTCTCAAAAAATTGCTTGTATCTTATCTCCCATGGGAGGAAGGAGGCGTTGAAGTGCAAGACTTGGACCATTTTCCCTCTGTTTCCGCTTAATGACTCCACTTCTTTTCAACTCTTCCCCTGACCAAATGTATGTTGTGTTACAGAATATTAGGTCCCCTGTCCCTTTTGGGCTGATTTGTCATGGTATAATTATGCATGAAGATTATAATATATTTCCTTTTTTCAACTTTTTTTTCTGATTGGTGTTTCCACAGTCGCGAATTTGGAATTTCTTATCTGTCGAAAAATTCTTATTTTAAATTACACAGTAACATGTACAACTAACGTGGAGCACTCATTCGCGAAGAAATAAAAAGAAAATAAGGTCTCTGTTAGATTGCTTGTCCTTCGAAGCAATTATTGTTTTAAATTTATTCCATTTTCTAATTGAAACGATACTAGTAGAAAAATATATAGTAGGGGGGAATAAACAATTGCAAACCTCCGTTACCTTATAAAGAGCAAAATAAAAGGCAAACATATAATAGCACAAATATTAGTTTAAAAAGATACACGTCTTGTGACTGGGGGGGGGGGGGGGGGGTAGTATGTGTGTCACTCTGTGTGAGGGTGTGTGTGTGTGTGTGTAGGAAACTTGTCAAGGTTAAACCATACTTCTGTCCAAGTCCTTTGAAAGTGGAGGGTAACCCCTAACCTCCCGACCCTCCCCTTTTCAAGCTGTTTTTTTACTTGAAAAACCCCGACTCAAACTAAAGATTTTTACTCATACTGACATCCTCCTAACAGTAAGAATTGTAGATAGAGTGGTGAAGTTATTTCATTAGTCCGTAACACAACTTAAGAAATGTCTTAGGATAAATTTAAGATAAGATTGTTTCGTGAAACAGCTGTGACAAATATTAGGAACTTCCTAAGTTATAACTTAGGCATATCTTAAGTTATGTCTTACGACATATCTTAGGAAACCTTTGTGAAACAGGCCCCTGGTAGAAAGTTGCGTGACTGAGGAAATTCGAGTCACAACTTTCACTCGTTTTATGACAAATATTGGAATTCAAAATTACCTACGAAAATATATGCTTGATTGATACAAAACATTATTTCCTTTTTTATCATTTTATGGAATTTTGCGTGCTAACAAATTAATGTACATCAGCTATTAATAACAGCTGATATAGTGTATATTTATCTCTTGTTTAGTAAAACAACTTTTTTTACCACTAAGGAAGAGTATTGTTGTAAATATTATTTAAATTCAAGACCTGTTTTTTTTATCATTCAAAAGTTGTGGATAAGAACCAGTTTCAACAATTAATTTTTTGAATTCTTCAGTAAAGAGAATATTGTCATGTGTATTTTACATGTGTATACTATAGGAAAAATGTACATATTTTCTACAATTATGTTGAAATTTAGCGTGCTTAGAAAGAAAAATATAAGGATGAAAAGAGATCAAATATACTACAGATTGAGGAAGTTTGAATATGTTTTCAGTAGAGAGATTGGGGTACTTTTTTCCACCTACGTATATATTAATTTGAATTGCGATGAGAAAAATATTATACAACTTTTCTTTTTATCATGTCTCACGTGCACTTCTGTAAATTAATTTAGTTTAGCTGATCCATTTAATGTCTCACTGTATTTTTGCCATAACTTTGCCAAAGCTAGTCCAAAATCCTCAGATCTTGTAATTTGCTGAATACCGAAAAGTAAAAGTTCCTGAAAAGTTTATGAGGGATGTGACATTTAAGTCCTATAAGTTTTACTGTGGTGACACTATGATATTTGACAACTGAGAGAAGACTACAGATTTGTATGTTTGATTTGCATTAATGTTAGAAACTGCAAGCTGTTAATACTAGAAATGCACCCCCTGCCCCAAATTTCTAAGAGAAAGTTAAATTTAAAATAGTTCATTGATACACTGTACATTAACATTACCAGTTTTGTGTTTTGTACACATCAATTTTTCAAATAACTTTTTCCCTAACAAATTAAGGTCATAGAAAAAAAATTCCATCCTTAATTAAAAGTAAAAATTTTTATTGCATTTTTTCATTTTATTTTCATTTTTCTAACCGACTGCTTAAATTTCGAGCTTTTATTTTTATTTTTATTTCGACCCCCCGACTCAAATTTCTGAAAAAAATTCCCGTAAAACAGAAAATAAAAAAATGTTGGCCTTACTGTGCAGTAAAGTCAGTGTTCAGAATTACTCAACCATAAAATGTATGACGTCACGTAGGGAAAGTGGTAAAAAGCCGAAAACACGTGCATATTGACGACGACATGTTTTTCAACACATCTCTTAGTACCATTTGCTGCACTTTAGTTAAACACATCGTTTTTCGGTATTTACAGACGATGTACATTTCTTGCAATCATGGTACGGTTGACGGAAGTTTCATGGGGTCTGGTTATTGCATTGCCCATTAAGTAAGGACAAAGGCAACAACAGGTTTCTGTGCAGTTTGTTGTGAATTTTTCCACCATAGAACGTCTTATCCATCGTCAAAAAGGGCCTAGAAAGGTTTTCAACCAACCGTGACAATGACTTTGACGCGTAACAGCTCCAAGATTGGGCTATTCATCCCGCCACCTGTATAATCCCATCGCATTACCCTAAAATTGCCATTATTACATTAGACTACAAGTAAAATTGATGCAAAGGATCAAATCGGCCGCAAACAAAATTTAGCATTTCAAAAAGTACTTTCCAAATTTTGAAAGCATCCATGCAAGGAAAGCACAAGATATTCGAAGCTGAAAGAGTGATCATTTTTATTTCAGACTGCCTACAAAGAAAAATAAATAAATAAATAATTTAAAAAAAATAAATTAGATAGAAATTTTAGTGCCTTTGCTCATCAGATTGATTCATCGATGTAATAAAGTCAATGATAAGTGATAAGAATTTATTGTCATCTAAATTATCCTGGATCTTTGTCACGTGATAATGCCCATGATTTCTGCAGAGTAGGCTATGCTGCACGGCGCGGTGCAAAATGTAGAAAAAATTATCCTTTTGTCATTCGCAGCTGTAGCATATTCAAAACAATTTTTACTAGTTGAACATCTATTCAATTATTATTCATCAAGCACCTTTACCACTTCATTATTATCCGGAAAATCATAACGATTTGCTTTCATATCTTACACACTCCCATGATGGAGAGTACCTATTGTAAACTTTTTTTATAATCATAAATTATCAATTATCTGATGAGAAATGATAATGAAATTGAAACATAATAACAACAATGAAGACTTAGTTTAAAGCAAGTTTTTAAAACATTTCACTCATGATTTTATACTTGTTATCATTTAAGAATTAATTTAATGAACTAATAAAGAAATAACGTCTCATTTCCCCAAGTGCACTTTCTAACACAACCACAAATA